CGACCGGCTACAAAATACAAGGCATTTCTCACGCATAAATGCAAGCGAACGAACGAGATGAGAAATTCAGATAGAGAGGGATTCAAAAAAGGGGGTTTTTTAGTACTAAAAAATGGGGACTGATGTGGGGATTCAAGGAGACAAATGGGGGGATGAGCAAAAAACACAGGATAAATGCAGGAGCAACAGGGGAACTGAAATATTTTAGCAAGCAAAAATAGTTTTCGCAAATAGTTGATAAGCGAACAAAAAAATATATATACCCAGAGCAAATATTGTATGTACATATACATATATTCATAAATTCTCATATTCAGATACAGTTGAACTTCCTTAAAGTGGAAGTAGCAGAAGGAAATTCAATTTGTTAATAGTTGAACCCCATGACCCGAATCGACTTAGATATGCTGAATATAATTTTTGGTACCTAAGAGAGGTTAAAGAATTTAAAGTCATAATTTATATTTTTCTTAAAATTAGGTTGAAAGAAAAATGTTATATAAAATATATATTCTTCTTAGGACTTTCTTCTAAAATTTGAGCTCATTTGGAAAAAAATTGTAGAAGTTATTAGACAGTAAAGTTGCAACCTTTTATATAACTTGCTTAATGATTTATAATGAATGATTTAATTGGGTCTATTAAAGGAATGTAAAAACTTCACAGTAATGTGGAAAATGCTCTATATTAATTTATTATTTTGTGTTTTTTTAAAATTTTTAAAGAATGTCTGAGCTATCGAAGTAAGACTGTACAAGAAATAACCAGAGAGTCAGCGAACTGGACGCTAATCAAACTTTTTAATATGCCATGCATGCAACGTGTGGCGACTTTTGTTTTGACACACACCGCAAGGGAGGAGGAGGCCAGAGGCCGGCATTATGAGATATATTTCATATATTTCATATGTGCATAATGCCCGAGTTATTAGATGAAAGATGTGCGGCAGAGACCAAGGCAGAACAGATTTAGTTCATATGTGTGCCTAGCTTCTCTTATGCTCCATCTGTGTTTTATGTGCTCGCCTTTCCAATGCAAAGGAATGCACTGGAATAAAAACTTTACCATAATGGCTACAAATTTAGAAGAATATATTTTATATTAAATTTCAAAATAATATAAAACAAAAGAACTCCTAAAACACCATAAACCAACCTTCAAATCCTATTCAAATCTTTATTTAATAACATATATAGTTTTTCTAACAGTTTAAATAAGAAAATGCAGCCCTTTTGGATGATGGAAAATCCACTGGGAGAAGCCTCTTCAATTCCAGGGAATAATGACAAAGCAACTGCCTCACTGCCTGGCGGAGTCAGGAGAAATGTGTGCTTTATGGGAGGTCAGCTAAAAATGCATCATCATGAAATGAAATCAAGTGCATTTATTTAGCTCTCAGCTCAGGGGGAAGTCCCGCCTTAAACAGCTGCCATGTGGGGCGAGGGGGTGTGGAGAAGGCGTGGCAAGATGAATGATGCAGGCTAACGGCCGTATGTTACACAGTTTCGACTTCCATTTAGTTGCAAGCTTAAATACACACGGAACGGGGGCCAAAAAATGTTTGGCCTTTTGTTCGGTAAAGTCGAGGAGAGTTTTTGCAGTATTATTTTTTTTGTATATACATTTTTTTTATTATTTTTCATTCTTTATAAAGGAACTTTCAATGGCTGCTGCAAGGGAAGCGACTTTCTGCTTGATGGATGGACAGTTTGAAAGAAGTGAAATGTGGCTTAGGCCTTGAGCAGGTTCAAAAAAAGGAAGAAAAAGAACTGCAACTGAAGTGAGGAAAGCATAAAGGAACTTACTCAACAGCTTTTTGTGAGTTTCCTTAAAGAATCTGTGAATGGTAAGGAGTTGATCTTAAGGATCATTACTGAAAATTGTACAAGAAATATGTGAGTTAAGTTAGGAAAGAGTTTGAAAAAAAATAAGATAAATTAAAGGACTCAAAAGACTTTTACTAAATAATAAACGAGTCTTTTTAAATTTCAGAAAAGGATTGATCAAAAGTGTTTAGTTGTGTATTTGTCTGTACTGAAAGTTAATTATTATTTAAATTAAAGTTGTGAAAAAGAACAGTTATATCAGATTTAAAAAACTAAAAATAAGTCCTATTCATCTGGAAATATAATTCTTAACCTTTTTTATTTTAACATATGTTTCAAACTACATTTTCTCTAAATATTTTCCAAGTCCAATGTACCCCCCAAGACAATGTCATATTTTTCTTTTGCTTTTTTATTATATTTTTCAGTAAACTATTTCTCACGTTTCCTCTTTTGTGTTTGTCAGACATTTATCTCCAGTGACCCCTTCCTTTCCTCCTAAATGGTAAACAAAATTTTTGCCATTAACAAAATTAAATCAAGAATATTTTCATGAGACACAACGAGACTTGTGTAGGCATGTGTGAGCCATAAAATGTTTTTCACTGTCTCCGTCTCTGGCTGGGAAAATGTGTGTTCTCATATTTTTCGACTGCCGTGTGGAGGAACATTTTCGGAGGAATTATGGAAGGAAAGCAGAAGGAAAATCTCTGACTCGACAGAAAATAAAAAAGCAAAAAGCACAATGAAAACGGTAGCTGAATGGCAAACAAGTGCAACTTTTAGACACATGCAGTAATAAATGAAACAAATTAATTAAAAGTGTGCAACGGGTCGGCTACGTAATAATGAAATGCGAATCAGCAAGGCAAACTTGCCGCTCATTCGCTCTCGTTACTATTTTTATTTTCCAGTTTTTCTTCTACTACTCTTGTGGCTGTTGGATGCATTGTTGTGCTCTTGAGGCTCTCTCTTGATAAATTATGCAGCCATCACCTTATTTAAAATGAAGATTAATTTAAGTACTGCCAAATGCTCCTGCTGTTAGCTCCTCCTTCTCAATCTTCTCGTATTTAGTTTGAGAAATTGTATTTTGTGTGTGTGGCGAGCCAACAAATAGCTGGAGGATGTGAAGATCCTGCCAGCGAGATTCGCAAATGGATGTGTGGATTCTGGGGGGACTTGGAGGAGTCTGGATGATATGCAAATCAGCTATTATACAATGGGAAACTTAAACTACTCCAGGAGCTGTTGTTGCCAGATCTTGATTATAAATTCCATTTATTAAAATGACAGTCGTCTTAAGAGTGGTTTCAGTTGCCTGTTTTTTGTTTTATTTTGTGGTGTCATTAGACTCCAAATGTAATAAATCAAATGCAGATTTAAATAATAATAGAATTCTCATCTATGTATGTATATGTGTTTATAACATGTTTTGGCCAGGTAGCTTATTATATTTCTCACATGTGAGAAGTCTCAGAAAATTTAGAAAATACTATACTTGACGACTAATAAAATTTGACATTTTTCAGTCTGCCAAATCGAATAAAAATCGATTTATTTAGCAATATAAAATACTTTGACATCTTCAGCAAGTTGCCGCATCACCTTAACCTTCCCTCCGTTTAAATAAGGATGCATTTTGCACCTGTCAAGCATGTTAAAACCCGTCATTTCACCCTCGCAAATCCGCGAATCCTGCCCATCATACGCTCAGCAAGTTGGCTCATCCCCGTGGAAATTGAATTCTCCATAAATACCACGAAAATCTTCCTGTGATGCTTTTCGTCTGGTTATATCCTACAGTTTTGGTTGTGTTTTTCATATGCTTTATGAGGGGTGTTTAAGGGTATATTGGTTTTGTGGGTAAGGTGAAGTTTTTCTATGGTATAAAGTATATATTTTCAATCATCAAGGAGTTTAGCTATACTGAGGTTTTGAATACCTTGCTTTACAGCATATGCTGCTCTTTTACCTTATAGTTTACAGAGGATAGATACTTGTTTGTTTACTTTATTTCTTTAAATTAATTATCCTTATTAACCTAAACGTAATTCCTCCATCCTATCCCAATGTTTTTCCCTGTATACTATCCCCTAATTAATCCAATATTTTGATAGGGTATAATATAGGGTACTTGTTCTTTCCATACACTTTATCTGCACAAATCTTCCTTGTTGTCTGTCTGATAACTTGCCTCAGGCCGCGGCAGCTGCTGCACGGCGCAATGTCGCGTTTGTTGCGAGAGGTTTGCTGCGTTTGCTGCAGTTGCTCCAACCGTTCCTGCCGCTCCGTTTCGTTTCGTTTCGGTTTTGGGGACATGCCACGGCCTATATAAATATGCATATGCTCCGCAAACATTTGCCAAGTTATCCCGCCCGCACCAATCGGTGATGGGATTCGGCTGCGAGTTCGAGTTCATACATATGCGGAATGGTATAGGGATGAGGAATGGAGGCTTAAGAGACACTGTGGCCCAACCGAAATTCATGCGAAAACTGCTGACATTTGTGGAAAATAAATGCAATGTCAGAAATATTGCACATTGCATGCAAATACGGGGCGAATGGTGGCGTCAGCCAGCATGATAAATATACAAATCCCAGTCAGCTCTTGCTGGTTAGACATCCGTTTAATTGAGTCAACACACAGCGGAGATTCTGGCAGAGATTCGCGGGTATCAGGAGGAGGAGGAACAGGAGGAGCAGCAGGAGGAGGAACAGCAGGAGATGGATCTAGGAGGAGGTGAATCTAGGAAAAGGCTAGAGAAAGGGGGCGTCAAATTAACGCTGTCAACTTTTTGCAGCTTGCACAGAAAGCATTAAAAACTAATTTATGGATTTGCAAGCCAACTCCCGCGTTGATTTATGTACACTCAACAAAAACAAATGGCAGACAAAAGTTTTTTGGTTGAAATAAGTAGTCAAGAATGAAGTGTTTGACTTGTATTTAGTTTGTGGTAACTTCTTAGTTACTTATGAGTCTCAAAAATAATTAATGATAGCAAAAAGATCTAAGATTTCTTAGGTCATATTCCTTCTATTAATTAGAGCTTATCTAGGTTATCATAGGAGATTAAAAATCCCTTAAATACTCTACAAAAACCCACTTAATCATTTACTTTCTCCTCTAATTTCCGCCAAGTGTAAAAACCATAATAATCAGAATACTCACAGCACTTGGGTATCCTGCGGCACTTGGGGCACAGCATTAAGTTTGTTGCGAATGCAGCGCACAGTATGCTCCATGCAGGTGCATCCGGTTGGGCAGTAGATGGCCCGTGCTCCACCGGCCAACAGAAGCAAGCCGAGCAGCTGCAGCAGGAGCAGCAGCAACACTCGCGGAGAACGCATTTTCAACAACGATTTTTCTGCACGCACACCACACTTCCTACCAGATGGCTGTCAAATCAAGAACTGAATGTGTTCCTTCGCGGCGGCACAAAACTGGCCACGATGATAAGCACCGAACGCGGGCGGAAGTGAGAACCACTACTATACGCTTATCGTTGCTCACTGGTCACTGGGCACTGGCCACTCGGACGACGGCGTCTACTCGAATCACTAATCGCGAAACTGGGAACACTGCGCAAGTGCGCCTCACATATCGCCTTAAAGTCACACGGAGCTGCACAGAGAGATAAAAATGGGTAAAGCTTTTCCCTAATTGATTTTAAATTGCAATAATTATATTTTAATTATATTTAGTAAGTGCACTATTCTATGTATTGAAATAATTTAAAAGTATAGTTAGTATTCTTGTCACGATTCTGTACTCTTCTTGTCATCCAAGATTATCGTTAATTTTCTCTTCTATATTTAAATAATAGGAGAAATCTACTTTCTGATTTCCAAATTGAATTTTTTCTTAAAATGGTCTTATATAATGTATTAAAGAAATATTTTATGTTAAATTTATTAAAAAAAGAAAATAAGTTTCTAATTAAATATTGAGAAGTTCTTAAAGTTCTTTATAAGTATTCATAATTTGTAATTAAAATCCACAATATTGAATGGTTTTTTAATAAAATAACAAAATTATAAAATTCAATATTATTTATATTAATTTTTAACTTTTCTATTCTTCAATTTCAAACAATTATTATTGCATTTGGTAAAAATTGCACAAGTATTTGATCAAGTTTTTTAAAGTACACTGTATTTCTGATCTTTTTTTTAATATATATATTTTTTTTAATATTACTTTCTGTTTGTTGCCGCGTATATTTAGTTTTCTAATTTTGAGAAATTATTTTGCAATTCCGGGACTATTCCGTCCGGGAAACCGGGTAACCGAGTGAACTGCACGCGCCAAATGCAGCCAGTGTTGACGTTTTGGCTTACTTAAGGCTATTTCTGGCATATTTGAGGAAGGAAAAGCTTAAAAAAGCTTTTTATAGCTTTGAGGGGGCGGTATGGGTAGGGCGGTGCTAAACGGACCACTTTTCAAATAATTCTTGTGGCAAAACGACTAAAGTTAACTTTATAAATTAAAATGCATTTATTAAAACAACATTTGAACAATTTTCATTAAATTTTCTATTAAAAAATACTAAGTGGCTTAGGAGTTATAGGGAATCCCCCAAGTACCCTTAATAAAAAGGTGGTTTGCGGCGTACATCCTACCTGTAGACAGAATAATCCGATATGAAAAATATATAAAGCATCCCGACATACTCACATAGCCTTTGTTTCAATTTTTTTCTGATTTTTTTATTAAAAGAATAAGTAGTATTAGTTAAATAACGCAGTAGCCTTGCAGTGAAAATAGATTATAACTCAGTCAAAAATGCATTAATTTCCAATCGGAAAACTGTTCTGTGTCAGTATAAATTAGATTAACAAATCTGCATACTAAACTTAACATATAACGAATTTTAATTTTTTTCAAAAATTTCGAAAATTTGAACGATGTTACCCCTTATAAAATTGTCAACAAATTGGTAAAAATTTTTTTTCTGCCAAACATGACTGAATCGATTTGGCTTTTGATGCTGATCAAGAATATATATGATTTATAGGGTCGGAAACAACTCCTTCACTGCATTTGACTAAAATTATAGTACCCTGGAACAGTATAAATATACATATAAAAACCCATATATGTATATTTTTTTACTACGTGTTTACTTTTTTTAATTAAAATAAATACATACAAATATACAATCTGTATATAATATATTATATAAATATTTATTTAAATCTTTGTTACTATTCAAAAAAGTTTTAAGCTTAAGAAGGTAACCTGAAAATGATCAAAAAAACTAAAATACAGTTTAGACAAATACTAAAATTACCTTATATTTTAAGTCAAATTCACAAATCCTTACTATTCCTAACTGAATCGATAAATATTAACAATTTTCTTCTAAAATGTATACTTCTATAGCAAATGCCGGACGAGCATCCGAAAGCCGAGCAAAACATCCGGAATCGGAATTGCCGTGTTGCCCATGCAGCGCAGCCAACGTAAGCAGAGGACTCTGGGAGAACTGGGAGACTCCAGCTGCTGCTGTTGCCATCGCCATCGCCATCGACGCCGCCTCCGCCGGATGCAGACTATGATAACATTTTCCTGAGGCTCTCGGCTCTCGGCTGAAGAGGTTCTCGATATTAGTTGGCCGTCAAACGGTGACTGGGGCAGCCTACGGTGAGGAGGCATAGATAGTTGCATCGAATGAATGGATTCTCTGCTATACTATATAATAGTCAAGGACGAACGACAGCCCCTTGTGTTGCACCGGCATTTTCGAATGTATTTTCAGTGCGCAAAGCGAGCGCAAAACAAAACACAACAAGCATTCGCCACGTTGCACTTGCCAGCATCGAACATAGCATCAAATGCTTTGCCCCGGCTCATTTTTAATGCATGAAGAGGTGGAATCCAGCCCCTGGCTCGGAACACTCCATTTGTTTTTGCCCTCCCCCTACACCTACCCCTTCCGCAGAAGAGAGGGTGGTGTGTATCCAAAACTGCTCGCTTTAGCGTTCGGTGATAAGACGCGAAATCAAATTTAAAAGCTATCAATTTGATATTAGTTCGGGGACCAGGGAAGAACCCTTTGGGGGCAACGTTTGCAACGCGTGCCAGAATGCAGAAAATGCTGTAGTTTCCTTTTCTTATTTTTGGTTTCCCCACAGAGAAAAATGAGACCAATATTGGCCATCAATAAGTAATAAAGAAGAAGTAGCTGGAGCTTAGTAAATACACTTTTAAGTAGCCTATTAAAGGTATTTTCTTAGTATAATTATTATAAAGGTATATTAAGTAATGTTTTTGGCTATATGCTCTGAAAGATAATATACTAGAAAATTATGTCAAGGCATAGAAAACTACTTTTGATCAACGTTTCTTAAGCTTTCATTTATTTTTGAAACTAAACATTATATGCTTGTAAAAATACATAGTATTGGAATAGCTTTTCCTTCAGTGCATCCTATTTGTTTTTTCTAGACATATGCTGCATGCGCAGCTCATAAAATTTCCCCCCTTTTTGGGCTGCAGTTTTCATTTTGCCTCCTTTTTTTCGACAGCACTTTTTTGGTTAGCTGTCGAAGTTTTGAAATCAATTTGCAGATGATTTATTATGTTTTCCATAGGGGTAAATGGAGCAAAAGGAGCAATGCAACAAAGGGAGCAGCCAGGAGCTGATGAAGCGGTGGAAGCTGTGTGCATACGACATTGGAAAATGGCAAATGGGAGGCCACTACTGACGTTGATGAATGCCGCTGTGTATTGTTTTGCTGTCAATTCCGATCGAATTGCAGGTGAAGTGGAAAATTTGCAAGTTATGCGACAGTTTTATGCGCCATTTTGTTGATTGCAAGGCAAGAAAAGTGGAAATATATTCGCAAATTGATTGCCAGGCTTTGGGAAATAGGAAAAAAGCACTGGAGAAACTTATCAGTTTTGTTTTTAAAGAAAACTAAGATTGAGAGATTATTGCGTCTTATATTATTTATTGCTTCGATTGTAAAATTAATCGTCTTTTAAGAATATATTAATATTAAGTAAATATTATTAGAATATTGAAATAAATTAAAAGTTCCCGCTCTTTAAAATCAATGCTGCCAGTAAATTGTTTATAATGTTGATTGTCAGCACTTTTCCAGCTGACTTTCGATAGCTCTACGCAAAACTTTTTACAAGTTTTAGTAACAATAAATAATTTTTTATTATGTAATAGTAATATATCATAAATAATAAATTAGTTACATTTACGTTACATAATTAAATTTAAATTATCTTAAAGAATATATCGATAGAAACATCCATGTAGTCAAAACAATATCTAAACATTAATAGTATCGATAGTGCGTTGTCGGACAATAAACAGCTGTTTGTGTGACCATTTTCGCGCCTTTTCTTCAATTTCTTTGGTCACACCGGTTGTCAAGCGAAATATATTGCAATTTCGCTACTTCCTATATTACATTTTTTAACAAATAAACTGAAGAAAGACGATCGGGCGGTTTTGGCAAACAGTTCTGTGTGACTGTGTGATATCACCATCAATATCAATATCAAATAATTAAAGAATTGTGTTAGCGGCGCAAAGGGAATCGGTGGCAGCTTCCGCTAAATCTCCCCTTAACAACATGTTTAGAATATTTTGATGTCTTATTTGCTATGTCCAAGCGCGGCAATATTACCTACGTAAAACCACAGGAACCCAGTTTCTTGGCCAAGTTGAAGGCGGAAATTGGCTACAAAGAGGGACCAACTGTCGACACCAAGGTGAGTTCTTGTGTGGCCCGCGAAACCCGTGGCCTTGCAATGCTAACTCCAGATTTTCCAATTTTAATCTACGTAGCGCCAGCGCTTGGAAGAGGACCCGGACCGGGAGGATTACGATTCCGACGAGGACGAACAGCGACCGGAGCGCGAGGACGAGCAGCCGCAGGTGGTGGTCCTCAGGCCCGGAGATCTATCCGCCGAAGAAGCCGCCAAAGGTGAAAACACATAAACATATATATATATCGTACCTATATAATACATACTTACACGCTTACACTCACACACAACAGACACACACCCGGACAGCTGTGCACGTGTGTGCGTAGGTAGGATGTTGTGTAGTTTGTGTCTTTCAGTTTAACTTTTCAGTCAGAATCGGTCGCGTCCACCTCTTCTGCCCTCGGTTACATACATATATATATATATTATATTATATACGTATATATATATATTAGAAGCTATATATTTGTATGTAAAGCGTGTGTTTGTGGCAGCGCGCGTGTGTTTGTGAATTTTTGCAATTGAAAAAAAGAAGGTGGAAATTTAAGCAAATATCGAAATCGGAATACAACAAAGATAGTACGAAAGATCCGGAATTTTGATTATAAAGTGTAGGTGTTTTTTGGTTGTGTAAATATTAAGTGCTCTTTCTGCCGTTTTGGATAAAGCGTAGGCGTTTTTGGAGTTTTTTTTTTTCGTCTGGAAATGTTTGGTTATCATTAAGGAGAGGAGTATGAGGGATCCCAGTCTTTTCCACGTGAAAAAAGATAGATAAAAGTGAAAAACTACGGAGTTTAGATCGTTTAATATTCAAATTCAGATAATATAAGCCTTTGTTGTCTAGATATATCTTAAATATATTAATTTTATTTAAATTCGAAGCTGCAAAAGAAAGATACAACTTTATTGTTATCCCTGAGAAGAGTTTATGTGCAATTTTTGAGGTTTAAAAAAGTGCAAATCAAATTTCTATCCTTTGTTTAACAAAAACTATACTTTTTTTGAGACTTTCTTGTAAAGGACTTGCATTTTTCAACTCCGCCAAGGGCGGCGGTTGCCTGGTGTTGCCATGACAATCCAGACCACACTCCTGCCCTGAAGAATCCCTCTTTTTGCCCAGCGGAGCACCCCTTACACACACACACACACAGCTAGGCCAGCTCACACACAGACGGCGGCGATGAGGCATACACACTGACATTTTCATTGGGGGCTCCGCTGCTCCGCTAAAGCATAGCATGTGATGAAAATCGTTGGCAAAGCGGGCAGAGCGATAAAGCAGCCGGCAAAGAAGTTAACAACAGCAGCTGCCGCCGCTCGCTTTGTCCCCGTCTCCCCTTCGTTGCTCTTCTTCTTCTGCTGCTGCTGTTGCTTGTGCTTCCTCTTTCTGCTATTCCCTGCTTCCCGCGGCCCGCCGGCGCTCCCCCGCTTCGAGCAGCGCAGAAAATCGGGTGAAAACGTGTGCAAGAACGAACGGATGAAGGAGGCAGCCAAAGCGGAGAGACAATGATGAACGAAGCAGGCGAGCAAAGAGAAAAAGCCAAAGTGGCTTGACGACGTGGTGGTGGCGTCGGCGGAGGAGGAAAGGAAGAAGGGGTCAGGAGGTGAGGCGGTAGCGGAGGAGGAGCACTGCGGGGGCGGGTTGCGAATTAGTAGGTGGAGCAGCGGCAGCAGCAGGAGGAGGAGGAGGAACGGGGGCAATGGATTGGCCAGGGCCAGAGAAAAACATCTTGTGGACGAAAGAAGAAGAGGCGGGAGGCGAGCTTGCATGGAAGGTGTAAGTGGGCGGTTCTATCTTCCGATTTTTCCGCCTTGCCCTTTGCCATGCTGCAATTTCATAAATCCCAGATACATTTTCCGATCGAAATAAGGCGATTCGAAGATAAATTTAATGGCATTGCAATTATTTTAGTTAAGATACATATATCTTAAAACTCATATTTTGTTATTACAAAGGAATCTATGAGTAAATACATATTGAACTATGGAAACGATCCTAACTCTTTTTTAAAAAGGTTATTACAAAATTTTAAATAGGTTTTCTCAAATAGATATTTTGACAGTTCAACAATTTGCTTGTTTTTAAATAAAATATAAAAAATAATGAAAATAAACGAAATAACTAGCCCTGTACTTGTATATTTTTAGAACTTGCCGAGAAACGAGCGGATCTGACTAAACCGATTGTCTTCAAGCAGCGTGTCAAGCAGCCCAACATTGAGGCCAATAAATCCGAATCTAAAACCAGCAAAAAGTCCGGAGCTACATCGGAGAATTCCGGGAAGAAATCAAAGAGCAAAAAATCCAAGTCCGCAGCCGCAACCAGTAAGCTCTCCTTCAACGAGGACGAAGAGGACGAGGCAGGAGAGGATTAGAGATTGGAGCTAGTAATCCATCTTCAGATTCCAGCTTCCCAAGTCAAACCTTCGGCGAATGATTAAGGTGAGGAAACGCTCCAGATAGAAACTGTAAACGCTTGCTAGCCAAGATTGGGGGCTTCTATATTGTGTTGCTATGTTAGTTATGTAGCTTAAGAATCGAGTTTGCATACGTATATCAGTCAGAATTACGCATCCGTCATGTTATTCAACAATAATGCTTTAGATGAGATTGATTTGGGAGGTTCGAGATAATATCACAATTTTAAATATGCAGAATCTTTAAACATATCATAATTATTGTTTGAAGTTAGTCCAGTCTTTTCAGATACAATCTTTTTGGAGAACTTACAAAAATGGGATATGATATAAATAGGGATCCAAAACCTTTTCGTAAAGTTCAATTCAAATAACACATTTAAAGTTTTGGGATTTTTAATTAATTTAAAAAATAACTGATAATAATTTACTTCTAAATCGGAAAAGGTCATGTGTATGTATACCATTAAAGTGTGACGATAGTTTGTCGTCTTTAACGGTGGGTTTCGGCCGGGTGTTACTGTAAACCATAACCCATAACCTATGCATCGCACTATGCCAGTTGATGATCACGGGGGTGAGATGAGATGAATTTAGATGTAGATGTGGATGGAAAATGAAAATGCGCCACAAGCGGGTTACTTTCAAATTTTGTACTTGCATATAGTCCAAATCGCACACAAACACCAACACATATACAGCCGTACATACGCTACATACATACATACATATTTAGTTGTATGTATACATATAGGTAGGTATGTACGATTTTATATGCCTTTGGCCATGGGTGCGAAAGAGAAGTAACGTAATCTGAAATAAGTTGGAGGAAGAAGAAGCATCAGCAAAAGTATACAGTTTAAGACGCTCTAGTATATGTGTGTGTGCGTGTGCGGGATGGGGGGCTAGAATGGAGCTGCAATTATATTTGCCCCAAACACATTTCATTAGCCGCCTTTCGCGCGCTTTCGTTTGAATTTCTGCACATGCGAAAACGCATAAATCCATCAAGTAAACCGGCGACAAGCAATGCCGTTTCAGTTTTGTTTTGTTCATTTCCTTCGTGGCGCGCGTACAATTGTCAAATGTTGTTTTCCCTCCCATTCCACGCCATTCCGTCTCCCATTCACATGGCCCATGCACACACACACAAGCGCGCATGCACACCGACGCACACACGAACTCATGCACGCGCCATGCTTTTCACACGGCCATTCGCTATTTTAGAGAGCGCGCTGCTCTCTGCTTAGCCGGCAAGTGTAGCGGCTCCAGCTGTAAATATAATTAAACATAAATCTACATTTTAAATGTATAAATAAAATTCGTGGAACTTGCCTTGGTGATTGCCAGCGACTTATCGATGTCCGATAGACCGATAGGTCGGCCATGCAACCATGCGCGCGCCCGGCTGTTCGTTGCAACTCTGTTTTTGCTTTTTCCGCCTCACACATTTCCAGTTTTTGCCTTGTCCGCCGTTCGTTCGCTCGTCTCTTTCGGCGTTCTTTCCACTCTTATTTTTTCCCCGCAAGCCAACAACCCCACGAAAAATTGTGCATTTTCTCTGGTTTTTGTGCAAAAACGATCCCTGATTTGTTGTTTTCGCGTTTTGTTTACTGTGATCGAAGGATAGTGCAAAAGGGAAGTTGAGCAAAACAACAACCTGCCTGAGTGTTCGAGGCGAAAATGTAAATGTAAGTGGCGGCGGTAAAAACAGAAGGCTGAATTTCATTAAATCGAAAATGTTTCGCAAAGTATGATTGGATATATCAATAAAAACCTATTAAATATATATGTAATGAGGAGATCCAAGCCAACATAGAAGCAGAAAAACGCACACACACAAACATAAGCGCCGCACACAGACAAAACACTAGCGCAAAAACACGCTCCTGTACCAAAAACGTACAAAAACAATACAACAACAACAAAAAGTACTCCACCATGCCGCAACAACAACAAGAACTAAAAGCTAAAGCCAAACGTCGTCGTCATCCGTCCCATACCGACCCGCCCCCGACCACCCTCTTCCTCACCGACCGCGTTGTATATATAGATTGTATATATATTTATATATGTATGTATGTATGTGCAAGCGGTGTGTTTTTGTGTGTTTGTGTGTGTGCGCCTTCGCTTTGGTAAATATGTATGTCTGTATGTATGTCAATCGTTTTGTTCGGTAACTGTTCGTTCGTACATACAGATGGACATAGATATATGTACATACTTACATATAAAAAAACATACTTTGTTGTACATATGTATATAAGTATGTAGCTATGTTTGTTTATGCCAAAGTATGTATTACATATACATATTTGTATGCAAATAATACATTGTAACTCCCGAATGCCATTCCATGCTATGTAGATTATTATTTTTCTGCCAGTGTACTGGCTTATTTACATATTTACATACATACATTCATTACATATTAAATTGTATTTTAGTTTTAATCCAATATGGCAGCCATTTTGTATCAATCCATTCTTTGAACTCCCCGCGCTCGGCGCCCCGCTCTCCAGCTATCTTTTACTTTTTTCCTCTGTCTCCGCTGCTTCCTCTTCTCCACCGTCTCTTAGTGCTCTTCCTCTTCTCTGGTTTCTTCCTCTTCTTGCTTCCCTTCCTACCGCCTTTTATTTTATTATAATTTTTGTTGTAATATGTTCGAAGCAAGAATAAGAATGGTTTTTAATTCACCTAGATTTTTGCACATTTTTTTCGGTGATTGTTTAATTTTTATTTTCGCCTTTGCCTTCGCCTCACATTTAGCCTTCCCCGCTTCTCCCTTCCCTTCCTCCACCGTTCCGTTCTGCAGTCTTAGCTCTTTTTATATATATATATATATATATATATTTTCACTCTTTGCCCGTTGCGCTTTGTGCTGCTCATTCGTTGCTCTTTGCTACTTTAGTTTTCTTTAACGTGCCAATTTTTCCGGTTGGTCTAAAGAAGCCCCCGTTATAATTTGACAGATTTCTTGCCAAGATCCCTTTAGTAACCAACTATCTATCTGTTAATTCCTTTTCAGAAACAAAAACATCTGGAAGATACACCGACTTGGACACATTCCACGGTACGCAGAACGACGGACACTGATTGCAAATGACTGAAGTCGATGTCGCTTTGCCGGAGGGCGTGGCCGAGCCCACAACGAAGCTTGCCAGCGCATCAAACTCGCCACAGCCAGAGCCAGAGCCGGAACCACAGCCTCAAACCAAGTCCCCGCAGCCAGCTGAGAAGGAGGTGGTGGAGGTGGAGAAGGAGCAGCCAGAAAAGCTGAAATCTGCTGAACAGCAGCTGGATGGCAACAAGGAGAAGTTGGAAGAGCTGGATAAAAGTATCGAGGTCCCCGCCGTTGCCGGCGCCAAAGAAGACGAGGTTACGGACATTACTGCGGCCTTGCCAAAGGCTCCGGCGCCCGAGGAGCTAACAGAAGAAGATGACGAAGAGGAGGACTTGGATGGCGAGGATTCACAGATAACCAGCACCAGCTCCAAAGAGCCCAAGCTCAACGAAGATGAGTTGGAGGAGGAAGTAGAAGAGGAGGAGGCCACTACTAATGGCGATCATGAACCCGAAGCCGAGGATGAAGATGAGGCCGAGAAAATAGGCAGCACGGCTGAGAATAGTTGCGAGGCCGAGGATCCGCTGGGAGCGGCCACTGTTGAGGAGGTGAATCTGCTTAGCACCAAGAAAGCAAGTCTGCAGGAGGGCGAGAGCGAAGAAGATGGCCTGATAGACGACGAAGAAGAGGAGCTGGATCTGTCCTCGAAAAAGGCCAATGGCTTTGCCAAGCAGAAGGAGAACGGCCAGGCCAGTGCGTCAGAGGTTAGCGGCGTAGTTAACCTGGACGACGATGATAGCGATGAGGAAATGGAGGATCTCACGGCACATAAGGTGCCGGCCAAGCCCATAGAGATGGCTGCCAAGCCGTCAGCCACTATCAACCACAACAACAGCGGCAATGAGTCCTCAGACGATGCTGTGCTCATCGCCTCAGATTCTGAACCGGAGACATCTGCCCCGTTGCCACAGCCTCAGGTGCCTGCAAAGAAGCTATCGCCCGTGGTGGCAGCAGTAGCGGCGGCAGCAGTCGTCAAGGCCACACCCCCGCCCCCAGAAGACGATGACGACGACGATGACTGCGTCGTGATCGAGGACGACACACCTCCAAGTATTTCGCCCAGCATAGGCAAGCGCAAGAGCGAACTGGACGAGCTGCAGATGCAGCCCAGCCACAAGAGGCAGCGCAGCTCGACGCCTTCGGGCCTGGGGCAGCTGACCATCAAGGATGCCCGGTCTCTGATGCCGCACGATGGAAGTACGTCGGTATCCGGAGCGAGTGGAGGTCCACGGGACTCTGTCTACCCGGTGACCATCACGAATGCCGTGACGGGAGCGGCCACCAATCTTGGCATTGTGCCTCCCAAGCTAGTACCCATGTCTACAATGAACTCCAGTCCTGTGCAGCAGATAAATCCGCCAACGTTATCGCTAACGGGCCTTCCCAGCATGACAAACAATGCAAACCTGCTGCCCGGCCTCACCGACGACATGTTCGTGCTGGAGGCGCCCTCCTTCATTGTGCCCTACATCTACGAGAAGCCGCCGCATGAGAACATCTGCGAGGTGGTCAAGGCCATCGAGACCAAGTATGAGCTTACTGCCGAGGATCTGGCCGAGGCGGACAAGGGTGATGAATTCGACATGATGACTGAGCAGAACAAGGAAGACAAGCCGGCGGAACAAGGCGGGAAGGCAGGCGGAAAGAAGAAAAAGAAGCGCGGCGATGACGAGTCGTGGTCAGAACAGTCCGATGATGATGACGACGATGACGATGACGACGATTCCGAATCGGGCGTGCGCACCAAGGTGCTGATAAAAGAGGCCAACGATGACCTGACAGCGCTAAAGGGAGCCATCAAGCCAGCCGCTGCTCTGGCGGCCACCGGTGGAGTGACCAGCACCACGGCGGGCAGTAAACCCGGACAGGAAAATTACTTTGAGAGTCCGCTTGGCAAGTTCTTTATGGACATCGGTGTTGGCCTCGTCCAGGAGTACGTGCAGTCGGATCTGTTGCGGCTGCAGAAGCGCAAGATGCGCAAGGCTCAGGTGGGGTCCAAGGAGTTCGAGATGGCCATCAATGCGCTGTCGGGAAATCTGCAGGCTTCCAAGACGAAAAACGCACCCTTCAAGTTCAGAATGAAGCGCTGCGAGTTCTGCAACTTCAAGTCGGAATCTGCTATGGCGATGGCCAATCACTACGAGACGCCGCACATGAACGGTGTGCTCTACAAGTGCAATTTCTGCACATTCGAGATCCGGAACGCCACGGAGATTGTTTACCATATGGAGGCGGTGCACAATATTAAGGCGCGCCTGATAAAGCCACTGCCCTACCATCAATGTCCCAACTGCGGCTTCGAGGATAATGGCAAAGCGAAACTGGCGCGCCATCAGCCGGTCTGTGCCAAGAAGTTCCGTCCGGAACTTAACTTGGCGCCTCCAAACGATTGGGAAGCACCGGCCAAGATACCGCGCATCAAACCACGTCACGGTCTCGTCGGAACCGCTACCGCCTATCAGGTAAGCGCTTTCGCGTTGATTAAATCCTCTGTAGATTTCTAATCCATATCCTCATTTATCTTTCAGGCCATGGCTGCACAGGCGGCGGCGCAAAAGGCCGCTCTGGCCAATATCCAGCAACAGCAGGCGGCGGCTCAGGCCAGGAATCTTCAGGCGGCCGCCCTAGCTGCCCAAAACGCAGCAAAGATGCGGCAACGTGCACCCCAGCCGCCCAAGCAGAACATGGTGCGGAATCCGGCTCCTGTCCGCGGTGGCGGCAATTCAATCAACGCAGGCTTGTCGCTGCCCAACTATCAGCTGGCAGCCGGACAACTTGTCCAGGTAAGTCGTCATTGCCTGTTCTATTGATTTAATATATTAATATTTTTCAACTTTTTCCTCCAGCAGGCATCCAAGAAACCGATGGCCGGTCAGCCCAGCATCTCGATAACGCCATTACCTCGACAGAGCTCGGTAGGAGCCGCGGGAGCGGGCGGAGCGTCGTCCAGCAAGGTGCCACCGGCAGCGGCAGGAATGAAGCCTGGCCAGAGTCCCAGCGGGAACAACAAGGCGCAGTTTGTCATTTGCGAAATCTGCGATGGTTACATCAAGGATCTGGAGCAACTGCGCAATCACATGCAATGGATGCACAAAGTGAAGGTACAGCTGAGTTTCCATTTCCTCCGGTATTCGTTTTGCTAAACAGATCTCTTTCTCTGCGCACAGATACATCCCAAGATGATCTACAACAGGCCGCCATTGAACTGTCAAAAGTGTCAATTCCGGTTCTTTACGGATCAGGGCTTGGAGCGTCACTTACTGGGTTCACACGGCTTGGTCACAAGCTCCATGCAGGAGGCGGCCAACAAGGGCAAGGATGCCGGCCGGTGTCCAGTGTGTGGAAGGGTGAGTGTTAAACTTGATGGCCCCGGAAGGTTATGTCTAATACGTATTTCCGTCTATCCTATAGATGTACCAATGGAAGCTGCTAAATCATGTTTCGCGCGATCACCACATGACCCTGAAACCCGCACACCTGTCCTACAAATGTACCGTCTGCACGGCCACCTTTGGCATGTACAAACAGTTTGAGACGCACGTATACACGGCCCATAGTACGGTGGCCCGGAAGGCAATGGACAGCAAGAAGAATAGTTCGCAATCGTCAAGCGGATCGGGATCCGGGGCTGGAATATCGTCGCGCAGTTCGTTGGGAGCGGCCAATGACTCGCTACTGAAGCCGCTAAAGATCAACGACGAGATCACGATCATACCGCAACCCGCATCGAAGCCACGCATCACAAATATGGAGAGTCATGTCATAGGTACGTGATTTGTGGGAGGATTATTGGTTTGGGGTTACTTTTTGGAGGTTTGTGAAGTCTTTAAATGTTGGCTAATGCTTTTAAAAATTTATAATAAGGAGTAGATTTGTAGACTTTGTTGATTTAAAAGTAATTTTTAAAGGATTCGATGTGTTAAAGCAAACTTCATCCTCAAATTAAACCTTAACCAAAAACCTTTATATATTTCTAGAAAAATTCGAATCTCACCTTTTGCTTTTACCTTACAGATTAAAGAAGCGTGCTTGTTGGATTCATCAACCAAAAAACTAATCTCGCAAAAAGTTTGCAGCATTGACAGCGAGCGCGCGCTTTAACATTTAGTTTCGTTTGTAAGCCGAACTGTGACCTTGCCGCGCCCAAGGTCGCGTCCATTTTACTTCAGTAAGTCGAATTGTATAAAGAGAAACCGAGAAAAAGAGAACCGGAGTAGGAGGAGCTGTGAGGGTATAATCCCTGGCTTGCGGTTTAATCACTAACACACTAGCTACAGGATACACGATAAAAGATAATGCTAAACAGAATACGGATAATAGAGAGAGAAATACTAGTTACGGATTTTAGTTACATACCGGAGTGGAGTGTGCACATAAGTTGAAGTTGTAGCTACTACTAAAATATACTACCGCATACACACAACATATTATATATACATATATTTAAAGCTATATTTAAATGCATTAATTTGAAGGAAGCCGCCAGAGAGCCGCGCATCGTCTGCATGATGACTATGTAAATTAGTTAAAAACTAAAGCTATTTATACGACAAAACAGAAACTAACGCGTACGAGTACGAGTGTATCCAGCAAATGTGTGTTGCAGTATGTGTATATACATTTTGAAACAGAAAACAAGAACCTTATGTGTGCTTCGCGCCCTCGCCTCCAGAATCTTGTAGAGATTAAACGAGATCGAGATAGTTAAGTGCAACTGGATGGACACTGATCTGAGAGACGACAGAGACGTTCGACATTTTAATTTTTGTGTACAAGTTTACCCCCTATATTTATATATTATTACACATTATCGATTAATATTAAAGTATATATCATCTATTAGCGCTTAAGGAAAACCCCCATGTACTACAGTTATAAAGAAAAACCACACACACACACACAAACAAAAGTGAAAAATGAGAAAAATTAAAAACCTAGTTAATATATAAAAGCAAAGGTGCGTGTGTCGTCGTGATCTTCCGGGCGGGCAAGCCTCCCTCTTTTTAGGTTCTGGAACAACTCTCATCCCATCCAACCATCCATCCATCCATCATCCGCCGACGTCAGAGGTGAGAAGTGCTCAGGGAATGCTTTTAGCAGTCACATGATGGGAACCACCTTGCACCACCCCGATGACCAGATAACACCAGTTGGACGGAAAGGCGGAGCAGAAAGAAAGAACGCCAGCTCATTTACCTAGCACTAATGCGAAATTTATTTTTACTCTACGAAATAGAAAAAGTGAAATTCCAACCGTGTGATGGTGGGAGAGTTGTGACCAAGGTGATCTCTTGTCCTCGTCCAGTCTTGTCTAGCACTGTAGGTACTCTGAAGTATGTGTATGTGAAGCCATTAAAACTAAGTAGATCTAGGGCATATGTAACATTGGCTTGTATGGGAGAGCAACGCACTGCATCACGTTTAGCTTTTGTGGATGAGAAGATTTACGAACGAGCGACCAACCGACCTAGTCCTCGGACTCTGCCTGGGCCACCTCGTTATCCGTGGGCGGATTGACGGGCAGTGCCTGGCCAATTTGCGACGAGGGTGGGAACAGTTGAGCCGCATGCGTCAGCTTGCCCAATGCATCCTGGTCGAGAATCTGTGGCTTGTCGGCGGCACTGGTATTGGACTTGCTCAGCTGATAGAAGGCCGTATCGCTGTGGGTAATGTTCACAATGCTTCCGGTCAGCGGCAGCGTCTCCAGCAGTTCCTGGGGGCTACTGAAAGCTCCAAGATTCACGGGCGCAATACCAGTGAGCACCTGGCCGGTGACATTCGTCTGGATGGGTAGCGGTATATTGCCCAGGTCAATGTGACTCTTGTTGCTGTGCGTGTCGTAGAAGGTGAGGTCAACGCGTTCCTGACTCTCGAAACTAGTGTCGTTCTCGCCCACTTCCGTCAGGATGCCGATCTCATAAACCACTGCCTTGACCACATACCTGAAGAAGGTGAGTTTAATAATTTATAATTAATTTTAGATATTTCTCCATCAAGTCTAAATTTTATGAATACTATTTAATGGTTAATAATACTTTTTCTTACGAAATTGAAGTTTGTCTAAATAATATGTACGTATATTTTATTTAATGAATATTTAAGATAGTTAATTAACACCTTTCAAGTTGAGATATCAAAAAAGATTAATTATTAGGTCTAAAAATGTGCAAATTAATTTGTTTTTAAACTGCTTTCTCTTAGTATATATTCATTATATTGATATTTTCTATTACGATTTTAAATAATTATGAAATACAACTTAAGAATTTAATTATATCTCAACTAATTTTGGTTTATGCCATTTAATCATATTTCCCCAAAAATATACTTACAGATTCTTTGGGGTATCGTTAACACTGGCCCGCAGCTCCTCGATCGTTTGGTTGTCGATGCCGGAGCTGACATCCAGAACGGGCAGGGAGCAGCCAATGGCCAGCAGCATGCCGAGCACAGCGGCTCCAAACACAGCCTGGTGGACCTGCATCTTGTCTAGATAAAATGAATAACGGCCTGCTGAAGCCTGTGTAGCTCGATGATGCTCTGCCTCTAGCTCTGCGCTCTGGGGGATAGTGGCTCCGGTGCCTTGCTTGACTTTCGCGCGTTTAAACTTAATTAGTGCAGATCCGAGCGCTTTTATAGCAAAACGGAGCAGCAGCAGCATCGACGGATGAGCTTCGCACCGGGAGACTTTGCGAGGCGCGATTCCGCGTAATTATCGACAACTGTTAATTGCCCGACAGGTTTGCCACTCTGCTGCTCCGGCGGGGCTCTAAAGTCTCGCATCTCCATCAACTCGTAGTTTCTAGGCACCGTCGTCCGGACTTGGCTTCCGTTTCGAACTGGTTGGATGATGCTGGAGCGGGGTGTACGGCTGCGAAGCTGCTGCGATATTGTTTTCAGACTCTAATTAATTGTGCTCGTTTCGGAGCGTGTCCCAGGGACTGTCCCGAATCGGATTGCCATAGGCCATTGGCAAGGGCTGACTACGCAAATCTCAAATTGGTGCCAAAACAACCTGGCCCAAAAATAAGTCCATAAACATTGCACCTCCCGATGACGCACTCGCCGGGATTTGCATGTGGCCTGGGACACGCGCCTGTCTGCGGGTACTAATATTACGCATACGCCCCGGTTGACGTACACAATGATGCTAAATCTCAGAGCAGAGAGAGAGTTAACATATTCACAAGTAAAGCTTCCTTGATCTTTTTCATAGTATACTTTATACTTTTGACATTACGTATACGCCCAGTGTGTCACTGACTTGGTATATGAGAAATTCAGGAGAGAAATCCAGACTAACCTCTACAAGTATTATTCTTAAATAGTTCCAGTAAGATCTGCCTAAATATCTCTCCAACCAGAAGTTAAAATTCAAGACTTTAAATTTCGCTGACTCACAACTGAAATTAGTGCCCTAATATTTTGAGATATTGCGCACATACCCCGTCACCCAAATGCCTCATATAAAACTGTAATCAAATTAAAAACTTTAAAATTTTTTATGGCTCTAAAACTCGTAAATTTTCAAGTTTTTTGACACTGGAGCTAACCGCCTCAAGCCGCCCGATCTCCCGGCATAACCAGCCAGATCTTGACTTTCATTCATGAATGCCGTCAGATTGGACTTTTGGGTCTCAATCTTTCTCCGGCGGATTGATGATCCCGCAGTAAACGTTTTGCGGTTGGAAGGTAAATCGCGATTTTCAGGCACGTTTCTTTCAACAAGTTTTCACCCCGATAATATGAGCATGGACCTTTTGTCTCAGCGGAAAATTTTCAAAATTAATTTGCACATCAACTCGGTGATCTCATGTGTCGGAATGAATGCTCTAATTATGAAGTGTTAAAGAGCTTCAGTAATTGCAATTGCCGCCAAAGTGCAGTTGCCTTCGGAAGGTCCAAAGATGCAGAGCTATCTCATAAATAAAATAATAATATCCATGTTTAAATATTATTAATTTGTGATCGCGACTTCTGGTGAAATGCTCGTGTTTATCGAATGGATAATAGTCGTATGTTTTTATTTATTTCATGCCGATTGTTTTGGCCTCTCAAAGTCTCCAAAAAATATTGTTTTTATTTTGATCGGTTTCGTGGAATTGATTTTCGGCGTTTATTTTAGTAAATATATGTTAATTCGCACAATTAAGACAATCAACTTGGGCCATAACAACGCCGCAGCGCTTTCAGATGAGCCTCGAAAAACTCCTGGGTCACATATTTTACGCTCTATTAAGTTTATAAATCCTTGGAATATATTTAAGGTTTTGATATAATTGAACTTGATATAAGCCAGCTAAGAGAAGGTTTAAATATTGACTATTATTTTGGAACAATAAATAATGGGGAAAACCTTCATGCCTTTCTAAATAACTATGTTATTTTCTGAAAGGTATTTTTATTCTATTTACCACAATTTATTTAAAGAATTTTTAATATTAAATATATACTTTCTCAGACCATTTTACTATAACCAACTTAGAGTACAAATCCATATAACATCATTTGTAGTTTAGGCATTTTAAACCATTGGAAGGTATTATAATTTTAGTTAAAAGCTTTAAAATCAGTGAAGGAGTCATTTCGGACCCCATATTCTTGATCAGCATCAACAGCCGGATCGATATAGGCTTTTTTAAAAGCTAAATAAAATTTCAAAAATTTTTCAAAATTTTATAAGGGGTTACATCGTTAAAATTTTGAAAAAAAATGATAGAAATTCTAAATTCTATATTATTTAAAATTGAGTATGTAGATTTATTAAAGTATTAAAAACTAGCATATAAAAGTTTTCCGAATCAAAATTAAAGCATTTTTGGCTTAGTTATGACTTTTTTAAACCTTGATATGTCAAAAAATTTGTCATATAAAAATGCAATTGCAACTGCAAGGGTACATAAACTTCGGCTTTAGAAAGTGTTCTTTTTATTCCGAATTTTCTGGACCTTTTTCCCCCAGTGTCGAAGCTTTGGGCATCCGCCAAACAAACATAGAACCCGGAGGAGAAAAAAATATATATATAGAATAGGTTTGGGCCCAAACATCATCCGGAGGAGTAGCACGCGCAGGCACCGAAACAAGTTCGGCAAACCAAGCGACTAAAAAGTGCTAACTGAACGTTATAATAAAGCTTAGCCTTAGCCACAACTTTCGAGCTGCGGCTACCGATCGGCGGCTGAGAAAAACTTTAAAAACTCGCCGGCAATGCTGCCGTAAACTTATTTCCGATCTGAGCTTGGAGCTGACAACACAATCCACGGAAATAAATCAGCAATCAGCAGCAGCAGCAGCAGCACCATTGGCCATGAAGTGCACTTTGCTAACTACCGTGAGTATATATACCAAATATCTGAATCATAAAGTTATCAAATATAGAGTAATAATTCATAGATAAAATAGGAAATTTATAAGAGGACATCATAAGCTAAAAATCGGTTTATAAAATTACTTTCACATTAACAATAATAGAAGAAGAAGGAAGATAATAATCGAACTTATAATATAATAATATAGTACATTACTTTATTATAATTAAATTAGGATAAAATCTATCTCAACAGAAATTATATATATAAATATAATATATATATTACCTTCAGATGAATCACTTCCATATTAATTACTCTTTAATTAATATATTTCCAAATCTTTCTCCTCCAGTTGCTGGCGACCCTGGTGGTCTCTACTTTGGCGGCTCCCTTCGACTTGGGTGATATCTTCTCCAGCTTCCAGCCGCTGGAGAAGCAGGATGTGGTCAAACGCCAGGTTCAGGTGCAGGCCAATCCCGATGCCGAGCTGAAGCAGATCTCATTCCATGGCCTTATCGGTGACTTAGAGGACAGTCTGTTCCAGTCAGCGCTGAGTCTGCATCAGGCCAGTGCCCCTGGCACCGTGGTGGAGGAAGTAAAGCCTGGCCAGGTTGTGGAGGAGGATGAGGATGAGCATGCGCTGACCAAGCGTTCTGATGAGTCCACACCAGCTACCACTGACTCTGATGGCTCAACAGATGATGGCTTGGCTCGCAAGATTCTGCTGCAGACCACCAGGAAGGTGCCTGGGAGCGAGGATGGTGTTCCCGCTCACCTCATCATTGATCATGTCTCCGTGCAGCCGCATAATGGTGGCGCCCTGCCCCTGATTCCCACCTTCCAGGTGCACCACACTAAGCTAATTTCGGCCACCATCAAGGAGGATTCGAATAGCGACAGTAGCGATGGCAAGCAGACCAAGATTAGCATTACCAAGACCTCGATTACATCGACGGCGCCGCTGGAGAGTGTGGAGGAGGCGCTGGCCGCCACTTCAGGGGCCACCTCAAGCTCTAGCTCTACGAGCACCACTACAGAGAGTTCCACCACAAAGGCAGCTCAGGAGAAGGAGCAGACGGAGGCGGACAAGCCAAGCTCCACCACCGTTCTGACCATTGTGACTAGCTCCAGCTCCAGTTCTAGTTCCAGCTCTACCTCGACAAGCACCACCACTACCACCACTGAGGCACCCATTGAGAAGCTGAAGAAGGACGAGGAGAAGCTCAAGGAGAAGGTGGCCGAGGTGGAGGCCGATCCCATCATCCTTTCGGCTCGCGTTTAAAGCAAGCCGACCTTTTGAACTAGTTGTAGCCCATCCAATCTCATCCCCAAACTCACATATTTATGACACGCCAAGTTCAATTAAAGTCATGTGATCCGATCTTTATTTGCATTTCCAATTCACACGGAGGAGAATGGGAATTCTGCCAAATTTGAGGCTCTAATTGCTCAGCTAAACACCAGGCCATATAATGAAGCCCCGGCAGCGGGAGAGATTCACTCAGGCATGGAGAGACCTTCCCTTCCCAGAATCTCGGAATCTCCAGTGGGAAAAACCTCGCGTGGATATGCAAATAGTACAATCAGTCTCTGTTTGTCTCTCAATTGGGTTAATTAAATATTGCCAAAAATGTCCAGCGAACTATTCAATCGATTTGTTTATGTATTTTTGACCAACAGTGATTAACACTCCATTGCTGGAATGATTAGTCAACAAATGGCAAATCAAGTGCTTTCCATTTGATTGGCAATTTCAAGAGAAAGCGGTGAGCAGGGGGCACCTGATTAGGTTACTTAACAATATAGTATTTCCCAAGCCCCATTTTTATATTTATTTCCTGAAGCAATTACATTTATACTTTAGTTTTATGGCTTTTTAATTGTGATTATAAAAGTCGAGTGTGTATTTTATTTTACAATGTTATTTAAAGGCGTGAATTGTTCATATTTATATTGGGTACGTTATGGCGAATTTCACATCAGGGGTTTACTATTCATAAAGGCAACTTGTGAAGTAATTGACCTTCTTTAAACAATTAATATAATTTTCCGATTGCAGCTATATATGTGTATATATATAGTCCACCGATTCTCCATGCTCCGACTTATATACTAGTAAAATTGTATAGAAGAATAACACCATATTTTCATTCAAATAGCTTAAATTTGTTCCAAAACAAATCTCTCACATCTGTGCATATGATTCCCAACTAGTTCTAACTTCCCCGGAACGAAGTGACTGCTGCCAGCCAAGACTCGGATACGTGTTGTGTTACAAAAGTTGCAAGTCATTGTTTATTAGTGTTCAAAGTTAGTAACTGGTCATACATATGTATATGTACATACTTACTGGTCATAGATACTTACTGATCATAGTTACTTACTGATCATAGTTACTTACTGGTCATAGATACTCACTGATACTTACTGATCAGAGTTAAATTAAATATCAGCTCGGAGTTTGTCTCTGTCTCTCTGCCTCCCCCCTCTCTCGCTATGTTAATCGCTCTATGAATCTCTAGAGGCAACTCCTCTCCCGCGCTCCCACACTCACTTTCTCTGCTCCACTCTCTCCTCGGGAACTATAAATAGAGGCGCTGAGGTCGCGCGCGCCTCAGTCTGTCCTAGGGGTACCTAGTGTTAACATCGATAGTGATAGTGCAAGTGATCATCCTTCAACCTCAAAAACATGACGTGGCCAATGCAATGCATCTGGATGACCAGCATGAAGCTCAGTTGGAAGAAGTCACCCAAACTTGGTCACTACTGATCATAGTAACTTATTGTTGAAAGATACTTACTGATCATAGTTACTTATTGGTCATAGCTACTTACTAATCATACTTACTTACTGGTCATAGGTACTTACTGTTAAAAGTTACTTAGTGTTCAGAGTTACTTACTGCTCTTAATTAATTACTTATCATAGTTACCTACTGATCATAGTAACTTATTGTTGAAAGATACTTACTGATCCTCTACATTTAACATCCGTTTCTCTGGCAGTTATATTATAGTATTTCGATTTCAATAAAACTAAAAACAAACCTATAAAACTCCATCTGCACCAGAAGCTCATAAAATATTATATTTTAGGTTGCAATTTTTTATTATCCAACTAAGTTTACTGTATTTTCCAGTGGCTCCTATGTACAATGAGTAAATATCGTTTATCAAAAACAATTACCAGGTCTTGTAAACTACATTTAGTTAGCTGCTCCCTTGGGTGTATTGTGAATCACACCCGATAAAGAATCCTACACCGCCTCTACCTCCACCCGCACTCAATCAAATGCCTCAAAAAGGTAGTCTCGCAAGTACAAAATGGATGATAAGTTCCAGTGCACGAGCCAACGGCCTGGCCGGTAAACAATTGCGATGAATCCGGTAATATCGAGTATACGCAACGTGAGCGGTACACAGAGAGCGAAAATTATAGTTAAATGGGAGAGAAGTTATCATGGGAAATAGAAATAGAACTTAACTGGCGCTAGTAGAAGCTTTTATTTTGAGATTTTAACTTAAGTTGCATTTATTAATTTATTTTTTATTTTGACAGATCATAAAAGATCACAGAAAGAGAATCTCTGCTTTTTTCCTTCACTGAAAACAGTCAAAGGCCAACATAAAATGAATGTGACTCCAAAAATGTCTTAAAGAATACAATTATTTTTTGCGGTGGACAATTGACAAGTCGGTCAGTGCTGGCGTTCTCACCATCAGCTGTGAGTTTAAATTTAGTCCCTGCTAACTGGCCATGTATTTGCTTTTATTTATTTGCCCGCCTAGGGGGCAGGTACTACTACTCATTTTGTTTATATCTATGTTTAAGGTGATAAAAACATGGTAAAGATAAAGCAAAAAGCTCTGCCCTCTCGCTGATAAGGTACACCATTCGATTTGTATTACAACATCGACGACGACGATGGTGGAAGATATTTGCACTTGGCCAATTGTGAAACTGCGCGACGGAATCCGATCCAGGCTCGCGCTTTTTGATAACAACAGGTGTAACCCTTAAAATTTCATTATGACATTATCTTATCGCCGGAGAGCCCGATGTTGAAGAAGAGCGGGCATATGGAGTCCATGCGAGGTGGAGGCTCAGTTCGAAGGAGGCAGCCGGCGAATGCGTTTCACCTCCGCTTGAGAATCGCGACAAAAAGAGTTAACAATACGGGTGAGATAACGCTTATTTGGTGTGTGCGGTGAAGGTGATGTTTATGGCCAACACTGCGTATACGTTATTGAAGTGACGACAGCGTAATTTCCTGCGCTGATTCATCCAATCGAATCGAATTGAAAATAACCTCCTCGGGCAGGAATGATTGAACTGAACTATATTGTTCTAAAGAACTCTGGTACTCCATATATGCAAAATCCCCCTGAAAAAAACCAATCAGGCCGATTAGATATCTCACCGAATTGACGAATTGTAATTTCAAATTGAATTTATAGCCCCGAAGCGTGCGTTGTCTTATCGAGTAACCAATTGGCTGGCCCAGCGATCACAGCAGGTTGCACAACGCCAGGAATAGCGAATCGGAATCGAATATACATATATATATATCCCAGGAATTGACAAAGTACAAAAAACCAGCACCAAAATGGGCATGGGCACTGGGTTCTCGAAGTGCTTCATACTCTTTATGGCAATTGTGATACTGGTAAGTGCCTCCCGTTAAGATTACTCAACCAAATTCCTTTCGAATAATCGAGTGTAATTCCGGTCTAGGCCCAGGGCGTCATATATCTGGGTTTGTCCATCTGGGGAATCACCTTCCGCACCTGCCATGATGCCACCAATTTCGCAGATAATCCCTTCAAGTTCGCAATGGAGTTGATTTACTTTGCCCGTAAGTAAATGGAGTGTCTATAATTTAATCTTGAAAGCTATAATTAATCGAAATTCTAGGGAATTTGAAATTCCAAGTGATATAAATTAGTTGGTCTTAAAGTTCAAGTCACTAGATTAGATCAAAAATGCCTATTGGAATGATCTTGGTAGAAAACCATGTGTGAATGCAAACAATTTGATTGTTTAAAATGAGTAAGGAAGCTATAAATATTATCTTTAAAAATGTAAAATGATAAACAAAGTTGAAGGCTATTAAAAATGTTTATGATCTTTTTAAATATAGGTCTGATAATAATTGACAATCCCATTTTACTTGGAATAATTGTAAAATGCTTCCAAATTTATCTTCTATTTTAATTTTATCAAAAATATTTTGTAATCAGCTGTAAGAAATTAATAAAAGTAATATTTTTAATCCTCAGAGAAAGATTGCGGTACCCCTGCTTTGGTGGTTCAGGGACAGGATTTCCAACTGCAAATGGATTGGACCAAGTCCTTTACGATCACCAATCGGGAGTATATCTTTATGATTACCTATGCGGTGGTCAGTGGCCTGTGGGTGGCCACCTCTGTCTTGATTATCAGTGAGTTATCTTAAAATAATCAACCTTCCTTTAAATATTAAATAAGGTTAATATTTTACAGCCACATTGTGCAATCGCACCACCAAGCTTATCTCTGGTGTTGTCTACTGGCCCTGGTTCCTGTCCGTCCTCGCCGGCTGCATCCTCGATGTAGTGGCTTCAGTGTATCATGGAATTGACTTAAGCCATACAATGGTAGGTGATAGGATAACACTATAAATTATGGAATTTTTAACATATTTACCAATTATAAATAAATATTTTCTACTATTTATAGTCCCTGGAAGATGCTCTAAGCTATATTGGAGGCACGGCCGATACCGAAAACAATTTCTGGGCGCTGCTGGAGCCATTCGGTGTATACTTCTCAACACCTTCCATTGTGATGCTTTGCCTGACGACCCGTGTGGCCATCATCTGGCTGCTGAACATCATTGGCGCCAGCTTCTGCCTGTCGCTGTCCGGAATTATGGCTCAACAGAATGCCGCCAAGACTAAGGCCAAGGTTGTAACCGGTAGTCAGGCGCCCACGCGCCAGCCAACACCTCAGCCGGCGGTGGTTGCAGCGCCGGAGCCCATGGTGATGGCTGAGGTGGAGACCGTGGTACTGCCTTCGGCACCGGCAGAGACCCAATATCCTGAGCAGATTCGGCCCAAGCCGTTGCCCATCTTTATACCTGCGGAGCAGAACCTGCAGCGTCAGGATTCTCGGCAATATGCCCCTGGTGATCGCACTACGCTGCAGTCACCCGTAATGGTACTACCGCCGCAGGTGTCCCAGCAGCAGCGGGATGTGGTCTCCCAGCAGCCGGACATCAACACCTATCGCACTACTGAGGCCCATCCTGATCGCCTGAATTATCCGCCGTCAGAGCCGGCAACACCGCGTTCGCCCTCACCAGCTGTACAGCAACTGGCGGTCACCTCGCCACTAAATAATCGCTACAGCGAGATGTATCCAGCGCCAGCCAATCCCCGTGTGAGCGAGGAGCTCCGCAACCAGATGCCGTGGTCGTACACCAGCATGATCACGAAACCGCCACCGCCGCCACGCAAGCCGCAGCTGCAGGTGCAGATCTATCCACAGATTCCGGAGCCCGACTATGGGGATCACTAGAGAGGAGGCATTGTGCAGGACGACGAGCAGCTCGACGCTGATTGCGGGTTAATCAGCACCTGGAAGCGTGGTTGTGACAATGTTTTGTGTTATTGTTAACTTTATTGCATAAAGCTAAAGCTGATGGCCAACTTTTTCTTTGTATTGCTCGAACCTTCCCAGAAGGAGATCACGTTTGTGTTGACTATGTTCTGCCACTAGTTTCAGGGCTTCGTTTATGTCCAGCTCTAGGGAATCACCGTCGCTGAGGTGCACTTCCAGCTTGGGGGCCTCGGGTTGCACAGCCTTTGCGCCTACAACTACGGTGAGCGGATGTCCTAGGCGCTTGGCCTCCAGCAAGCGTTTGCCAATGGTTAGCTCCTTGCGATCGTCGTGCAGCAGCTCCTGGTGACCACACAGCTCACCTATATTCCCCAGCAATTCGTTCTCTATGGCCTCCGCCGGTTGTTGCTCTTTGCTGCCTTGCTTTGGACCAATCAGACACACATCGTACGGCGCCAAAAGCTTGGGCCAACGAAGTTCCTGGTCTGTGGAGAGTACTTCCAGCGCAGCGGCTATAATCCTGGTGATGCCAATGCCGTAGCAACCCATGACTAGGGACTGAGGCTTGCCGGAGGTATTAAGGAAGGTAGCACCTAAGGGTTTCGAGTACTTGTCGCCAAGCAGGAAGGTGTGGGCTACCTCAACGCCACGCACTGTACTTAAACTCGTGCTCTTACAACTTGGGCAGCTGGTTGGGGACTCCTGCAGGCTGGTTTCCAGAACTTCAGAGTTGCCAGCAAAGCCACATGAGCTGCACTGAAGCAAAGTATCCTCGCCCACGGGTGATATGTAATGGTACTCGTGAGACAGACTGCCACCCATCATTCCCGTGGCGGCATTCACTAAAATTAAGAGTGGATTAATAACTAAATAAGCTCCTTGAAATACCTTACCTTTCACAAAAGGCACCTCCAACTGTTGAAATAACCTATCATAGGCGGCACTGACTGTGGCGTATGTTCTTGTAGCTGTTTCCTCGCTCACATCAAAGGTGTACATGTCCTTCATCAGAAACTCCTTGGCTCTCATCAGGCCAAATCGAGACTTGAGCTCATCCCTGAACTTGGGACCGATCTGGTAGAGTCTCAGGGGCAGCTGGCGATAAGAAATGGGCGATGTGGTGGCCAGCATGGCAGTTACTGCCTCCTCGTGAGTCTAATCAGGACAGAAGTGAGTTTATTCATTCGGTAAACTTCCATCTAAAGCACACTCACTCACTGGACTCATAAGGAACTGCTTGCCGCTGCGATCCCGCACCATATAGAACTCGGATATGTCTCCCTCCAGGCGACCCGTCTTCTTCCACAGTTGCGTGGACGTCAGGATGGGCAGGCTGATCTTCTGGCCGCCGGCCAAGCCCATGTTGCTCTGTACCAGCCCAATTAACTTGTCCACCGACCGCTGGGCCATGGGCATTATTTGGTAGGTGCCATTGCTCCCGGATTTGACCAATCCGAGTTCGGTAAGCAGCTGGATTAAACACAAGTTTTAGTTGAGAGTGTTACGAAAGATCTGGATTGCCTTACCTTTTGACTGCGCGACAGTTGCTCCGTTTGTTTGACCACTGCATTTTTGGGTGTAATTAATGCCGGACAGAAGAGTCTGGAAGCTTTATTCATGTTCTAGTTTATGTTTATCAAGTTAATTAATGCTTATTTTATATTATTTACGTAAAAACACCGGTAAGAGGTAAAACCAATAAAGACAGTGTGACCAGCTGCGGGATTCGAAAAATGCTTGGCATACAGTGAACAATTATGGTATATTGGATATTGTGAAATATTTCTATAATTTAAATAATAAATATAATACATAGTCCAATATATCACTTAAATTATATACAGTTCAAATCGTTTCAATCAATAATGAAAATATATTCATAATTATCGATATAAAATAATCGATTTTGTGCACATATCTAGCCGGCTCTCATCCCTAGCTCCAATAGTTTTGTTTTCGGATTCTAAAATGATTTCCGCCTTCCAAGATCTGTACAAAAAAGGGCTGGATGCCGGTGAACAGCAGAGGCAACGTCAGAAGGAGCTGCTCGAGCAGCAGAAACTGCGCCGTCACCAGGAGCAGGATGTGACCAGGCCGCTGGCCCAGAAGAACACAAAGCCCTCGGGAGCGCCGCCAAAAAAAAACCAGCGAAAGCAACGTGCTGGCGGTGTCCATGCTCAACATAAGCGCTGTCCCTTCCGACCGCAGCTTTCGGAGTGGCTGCGCCAAAAGCCGGAGGATTTGGACGCGTGGCAACTGGTGCCATGTCCAGCCGGAGCACGGTGCCTTGTGGTAGCCAATAGCGGAAGGACGAGGGCGTACTACAAGAGCGGTTGGCAGTTTGAGGATTTTCGGTCGTCGCTGCCCGGAGACAGGCTTCTCCAGCGATCGCAGACTGTCCTAGACTGCATCTATGTTAAGGAGACGGACTCTTACTATGTTCTGGACGCCATCAGCTTTGGCCAGCAGGAATTGCAGGAGTGCGAGGCAAATTTCCGCTTCTACTGGCTAAAAGCACGCTTCGATGAAAATGATTACGCCAGTGTTAGTGAGCACAATGAGAAGTCATTCTTTCTGCTGGATCACCACAACTTCGAGGACAGCTCTGCGGTGGAGGAGACCTTACAAAAGTACCCGCTTTGGGATGAGAACAAGCCACCTCTGGATGGTTTCCTCTTCTATCATAAGGAGGCCAGTTACGTGTGCGGCTCAACGCCCCTGGTCTGCTGGCTGTTCCCCTTCATGATGCCGGATGTGTTGGGACTGCCCGTGAGTAGCAGCTACACAGCTCCAGAGGATTACGAACCCACACAGCCGCTCCTCTACATGGATGAGTTTGATCGAAAGCTTAAGGAGAAAGTAGCGGCTCGCTTAAAGAAGAAGGAGCGGAGAGTTGTCCCAGAGGAGGAGAAAATGGAGGCACAGGCTGAGGAGGATGCGGAAGACAGCGATGAGTACGCCGCTTTAAAGGAACTCCTCGATCAGCAGCGGCGCCTGGAGCTCGGTGAACTCGATATGGACTGCGAGGAGGAGGTGGAGAAGCTGCCGTCAGCTGATGCCGACTGCTAAGACAGAACGGGCGCCGGCTTTGGGGGTGGCTTTTCTGCGACTGCGCTCTGCCGGCGCGGCCCTGGACAAAACGGCCTGAGCTAGCGCCCAGGAAAAGCGCCCAGGACAAGCAGCCCAGATTTCGGCCACATAATTATTTGAATTGTTAATTATAAACTCATTAACGGAAAAGAAATTTAGAATCTCAACAAGAAAAACAATGGTCATTCAGCGAAGTTGGAAGATACCCACGGACGTGGCGGGATCCCTGAATAACACATCGACATCTACGTCAAACGATGTGCAGCAGCAACGCTCCTCTCCGGGCCTGCAGCTGCAGGCAACCAATTCCTCCTCGGACGACTCTGATTGCTCCAATCAAACCACACATTCAATGGACACACGAGTGGCCAGTCCGGCGGGCGATTCCGGTGTTCGCAAGCAGCCGGAAAAACAGGATGGCACCGTCGAAACTATCACACTTTCCCTGCTGGGCGAGTCCACGTCTTCAGAGACAGAACCCGCACAGGTAAGTCTGGTATCTCTTTCAATTTAAAAGTGAAATTAGTAGATCTTTCCCCTTTCAGAAATTTGTAACAACGGCGGATATGGCAGAGACAATGTTGCAGCGCATTCGGCAACGCTTGGGCGGTTCACACAACATGGAAAGCGGCGGCAGTGCCGAGTCCGCAATGAGGGCGCTGGAACTACTAAGGATCAGTGTGCAGCAATCCTTTGATGCGGAGGTTAATGAGATAATCAAACGATACATGAACGTAAGAAGTCTTCTTAATGATATACTGCCACCTTAAATTCACCTTCTACTTTTCCAAATCTAGAATTATTTTAAGCCCGCTTTTGGCAACATAAAGGAGAATCTTGGCCAGCATTCGGTTAACGAGGAAACGCTGCAGAAGATGTCCTCGTGCGCCCTGCTGGAAAATGCTAAGGCTCAGTACACCAACTTTGTGCGCCAGCATCGTCTGGTGGCCGCAGCTACCACAGAGCAGCAACGATTGGCTCTTAAGCGCACAGCCAAGCAGGAGATTAGTCCCAATACGAAGATCTATGTGGCCAGTAAGCCTATGCCCTGCACGGCCACCACAGTGAACCAGTTGCAGAGTGCCAACCAGCAGCAACTGTTGCTCCAACAACCCGATATGCAAACAGTGCAGCCGCTGCAGCAGCAGCAACAGGAACAGGAACAGACGCCACTCCAACAGCATCGTTCCACGGTCACACCTTTGGTGGGGGGAACTCTGCCCACACCTGTGCGACGGCAGATATTCTGGAACACCGCCCAGATCTCGACCAGCACCAAATTCGTACTTGATGTTCAGGCCAACCTAGCCTTTGGTTTCGGCACCGACGGCAAGGAACGGCTGGCAAGCAAGCATCCGGAACTGATACGTTATCTGCCCGATGGCGAGGACAGGGAGTGGCTGGCCACGCGTGGCATTATTCCTGCAGAGAATCGCAGCTCCCGTTTTCTGTTCCTCATCTACGACGAGGTCTGCCGCCTGCAGCAGACACATGACTTGTATCGAAACAAGACCAACATCGATCTTTCCATGATGCTGACTTTTAGCGTCACAGATGCCATGATCCACAAGATGCGCCTCTTTTTTGTGGATCTGAACATCAAGAGTCGTGGCCTGATAACCAACTCGTACATCCTGCCCAACCAGCAGCAACAGCAGCAGCAAGCCCAGTCGGGTAGCGCCAACAACAGCCATTTGAGAAACGCTCTACTCCAAGGAGCTTCGTCCCAGCAACAGCAGCAGCAACAACAGGTAGCCACACCGCCGGCTGAGGATGCGGTGCTCAAGGAGATGCCAGCTGCCTCGCCCACGCCTTGCCTCCAAGGCCAAGTGGTGGGTAGCACTACAACGCCGCTGAAGAACAAGCTGGCGGCGAGTTCTACGCTCAGCTCCTCGCATGCCACGCTCACGGCGCTGCTGAACAATGGAGGCGTGGTGGTGGGAGCAGCTTCTCCGGTCAATTCCTCACCCAGCACAAGCGGAAAGTTTAGGAATTAAGTGAAGTCAATTGGGCCGAAGGGTTAGTAACTTATTTAGTAGTTTTAAATTAAAAAGAAAATATATTTAAGCTAATAGATTTGCATTAGTATATAAAAGAGTAAAAAAAGTATCCAAGCGGATGATTAAATAATTAAATGGGTTTTTGCTCAATTGTTTTTTTGCACTTTACTATTAAAATTATATTAGTAAATATGTTCAATTTTAAATTTAAGTTTTGTTTGTTTCAATGCATATGGGCAGCATTTTTGCTAATCCCAAAACAAATGGGCAGCACTGCTGCGTAAATTACACCGATGTAGAAATGTTTATGTAGTTTTACCTGTACAAACTGCAGGATATTATAATTTTAGTCGGAAGCTTAAAAAGCTGTCAAGGAGTCATTTCCGACCCCATAAATCATATATATTCTTGATCAGCATAAAGAGGCGAATCTTTCTAGGCATGCTGGAAATGAACAAATTTTTTGCAATAAGGGTTTACATCGTTAAAATTTTTTAAAAATTGATAAGAATTTTAAATATTTTAAAATTTAAAATGAGTATGCAGATTGATTAACCCAATAAAAATTAACAAAGAACCGCTTTCCAAATTACAATTAAAGCATTTTTGGCTAAGTTATGAGGTATTTAAACTTTGATTTTGTTTAAAAATTTCATATAAAAATGATAAATATAAATTTAAAAAATGGGAATATTTTAAGGACTAAGGACGGAGAAAAGATAGAGCTATGTATATCCAACAAAGCATGCGTATGAACTGACATCTAATTTTAAGTTGAAGAGTTATATCTGTTTTAATGTTTATTATTTGTTTGTTAATTTTTGTGTAGTTTTTATTTATTTTATTATTTAATTTCGCAAATCTATGTATTTAAAGTATTCAAAATTGTGGAAATGGACGTGGACATGGCTCTTTTAACCCTAGGTAAGTGACCCTCCTAAGGTGATTCCCTCGCCTCCTTTTAATTATTAATTTTCTAGGTTTTGGCTGCGCTCAGGTGTTCATCACGGTGGTGTGCATTTTGCTCTCCCTGTACGTTGCGTCGGAGGCCTATATAGTGGGTTATCTTCTGGTACTGACTTCCTGCGAATTTGCCACCACATCCGGGGAGAAGACCCTCCTGGCCAGCGCCGCAATGTTTGGCATGGTGGTCTCTGGCTTTTTCATTGGCGTTTTTTCGGACAAGTACGGCAGGAAGTTCGCCCTTTTGCTGACAATGATCGGATCGCTCACCTTCTCTTTCATATCCTCCCTTATGCCGGAGGTCTACTCAATGGCAGTTATGCGGTTCATAGTTGGGTGTTTGTATGTACTTCCGTTTCCGCATCATTTTATAATCCAATCCAATATATACTTGAATACAGCCTAAGCACCCCTGCCGCGGTCACGATCGGCTATATAATGGAGTTTTTTGCACCGAAATGGCATGCCTTGGCGGTCAGTGTTCAGGTCCAGGGCATAGCCTTGGGATTGTTCTATATTCCGGCTATGGGGTGGGCCATCCTGCCCAGCCACTATAGTCTGAGGATCAGCAGCAACATTGAGCTCCGAACGTGGCGCTTCTACATGTGGGGCATAACGCTTCCCGGCTGGTTGGCTTTCGTCGGATTGTTCTTTGTGCCGGAGAGCCCCTACTTCCTGATGTATGCACAGCGCATGGAGAAGGCCACCAAGTCCCTTCAGTGGGTGTGCCGGCTAAACGGAAAGAAGTGGGACGAAATGAATATAACGCTTACGGGTCAACCAGCAGGGCGAGAGCGTGGTACTTGGAAGGAATCCTTCTCTGAGCTCGTCAGGATCTTTAAGCGTCCGGTTCTGCGGAACTTCCTCATCTGTACATTCTACATCTTCGGAATTTTCTTTCTGTGAGTCCAATCACCTTCCAAGGGATACATCGATCTAAAATATATTCTCCTGCCTCGCAGTTCCGTTGGTTTCGGTGTCTGGTATCCGGCCATCCGCAACGAAAATAGCAAGGAATCAAAAACGCTGTGCCAAATCATTGAGGCCCACACTGTGTTCCAGAAAAGTGCAAACAAGACAAAACCCTGCCAAGACCAAATGACCAACTTCCTTGATCCCATGTTCTACGCACTGACCTATGCGTTGATGTTCCTTGTGGTGACCGTCCTGGTGCTGTGCCTCCCTCGGCGATATGTCATGGCTTTGCATGTGGGTGTGGCCTGCCTGTTGGGCATAAGCCTGAACTTCATCCAGCATCCGTTGGGTGTGCTGATCGCCTTCACCCTGATGCTGGTTGTTCCTGGTGGTCTCATCGGACTGGCCACATCCGCCCTGGCCGACTGCGTGTCCATCGAACTGCGGGGCAAGGCTCTGTGCATGGTCCGATCCCTTTCGCGACTTGGAGCAGTCGTGGGCAGCGCCCTGGTGGGAATGTTGATGAAGGTCTCGTGTGTGGCTACGCTGAATATATTTGTGGTGTATATGGCAGGTAAGTGACACAATAATATATCTGACTAGATATTCAGATTATCATGTATTTGCTGTATTTGCTTACAGTTTGCGTTGTGTTGGCTCTCTGTCTGCCAAAGGGAATATAAATTTTGGGCTTCCGGTTTTCCACCTAAAAGGTACAATTCTGCAACCTAATTGAAATATATAAAATCTACAGTTTTCAAATAAATATTTGATGTTTATTGAAACTCAATTTGATATACATATAATTGTGGTTCTCCTTTTGTTTTTGTCTACAGTTATTTTTAAATATAATATATATATTTTTATATAATATGTACGGGTTTCATATTTGGTTTTACATAGTGTGTGTTGCTAAGTTTATTTGTTTAACAAGTTAGTTAAGATTTGTATCCTTATAAGCCTTGCTACAGCCCATCGGCACTTTTGAAGCGCAATCCTCCCCACAAATATTTCTCTCCAGCCTACACGCTGATATGGTGTTATTTTTACAGTGTTTCCAAGGTACTCCCATACCGGACTAAGTAGAATACGTATTAGAATTAGAGTTAGGGTTTGGGTTTAGTAGAAAATAGACCAAATAGACCTAAGACATAGTAGCGTGTTTCTTTTCTTTTCTGTTTTTTTTTTCTGGCCTAAAAAGTAGCTCAAACAATGAGTCCGAATATCAGTAATTAGTAATTACATTAGTTTAGTTAGTTAGTATATAGTAGTTTTAATTTTGAGATAGCACAACCATTTTAGTTTTCGTTTATAGAACAACTTGGGCAAGTCAACAGCCGGATTGCGAAGAGTAATTAATTAGTTAACCGAGAGAAAAAGAGGAATCTATATATCATTGTGTCTACGTTTCACTTTTCCTTCTTTATTTTTTTTTTACCCTGACTACCTTGACGACTACCAAGTACTTACAAGATACAACAATGGCTATGCTCAGACAAATGGATTATCTGCTGTACTAAGTATTTGTTCTCTTTTATTTATGGGGCTTTAAAGCAACATCTAACAATAAAAGAAGCCCGCAGCTGCCCTTGAAACGGATAGATAACAGATGCAGACCAAGATGCAGATGCTGATAAAGATACAGATAGAGATACAGATACCGAGATATAGTTAAATAGTCGTTAAGTTTCGCGCGGAAATGGGTCGGAGTTAAGGACCATTAACTAACGTTGGGACAGTAAAAGTTCCACACTGTCTCTGCTTCGCATTTTAAGTACTTCTCTAAAGTGTAAGCCTTGTATAAAGAAATATATATATATAGAGTATATATATATATATTTTGTAACTTTAGTTTGAAACTCACAAGTCGTTAGGCTGAACGTTGATTAGATATTACGAGTAGATTTATACACAAGTTACGAAAATGTAAATTTTTCACTTTTTCATTACAAGAGATTGTCCTGTTTTTTTTCTGTCTGTGTGTGTGTGGAAATAAAGGAAGCGAAGGATGTGCGGAAGAGAAGGATGTCTGTTTATCTGCTGTGTTGTGCAATCAATGCCCTACCATAAAATGACTACAGTAAATTCGTCTTAATCACGCGTTAGTCGCACTCGAATCTCAAATTTGTTCTTACATCCCCACACACAAGCGCACACCCATAAAGATTGTCGTTTTAAACTAGATATCCTTCATTCGATTCTTTAGATATTATTCGATATAATTTTGATACTCATTAGATTTTCAGATATTCAGATGTATAGTTCTCCAGATACTCAGATACATATTTCGTGTGAGTTCTCTTATTCTTTTTTTGGGGAGAGGAGAGCAGTTGAAACCTTTGCGGGGTTTTCAGCTGTACAGATAGGCTTTTATTTAATTTTTTGGTTATTGGATTTTTATAGCGCAACATTTAATTAACACTTAATTGGATATATGCCTTCGTTCAGCTACCAAGCTTTAAATCCCTTTTCTCCCGGGGGGAAGAGATCCCAACTGAAGGATCTCCCCGCTTCGTTGCCTCGAAAATTTCAACATTATTGTAGTTTTTATTTTGTTTTTGGTGCCCCGTTTCAATCCATTCTCAAACAACATTAAACTTTCACAAACACAACAAGCAAAAATATATATAAATGTGTTTGCATATGTATGTATATGCTTCTGGTACTCCGATTCCTCAATTATTGTGCTCTTCTGATATTGGTAATTCCCCTTTTTATTTTGTTTGTTTCTAGTGCTGCCTAACCGTACCTTACTTACAAAGCTCTCTCACCACGAGTGATTGGTGCACAAGGATGCCAGGACATGGCATCCCTGCTTTAGTGTAACATAACCCCATTTCAATATTGATCCAATCCAAACCGATCTGATCCTTTTAACTCCATGCCAGCCCATGTGCTAAGCTCATTTGACTATAACTAATACATATACAGGGGAGGGAAGGGACATGCATAATGCTCTAGGGAATGCAAGGGTTTATATCTGCATAGTAAGGATGCTCCAAATTGATCCTGCTTAGGCGCTAACAAATTGAGCTTGCAGTGATAACTCCGAGTCCTTGGGACTCCGGCACTGCGCCCGCAACTGATGGACGGCGGCGGCGGTGGCGTTGTTCGGTCAGGGAGAGTTGTCCGAGTCGGAGCCGCCATAGCTGTGCATCGGGAAGAGCGGATACCAGCCATTGATGTGCTGTCCAATGTTCACCTTGTCCAGGTTCACCTCCGTTCCACCCAATCCCTGGTTGTGCTCGAATCCCACGCACCTCTGCCACACCATGATGACGATGTTACGGCCAAAGACGTCCGAACTCTGTGTAAATATATTTGCATGGAGATTTGCAATTCGTTATTCGTTATACGTTCGGGTAATTACATGGCGTCCAATAAAAATATGGCTCGTGCCCAACGGGGCGCATCATTTGCTTGTGGAGGGATTAACCCTCTGCATACTCTGTGTGGCCTAAAGAGGTCCTTATGGGGTCTTAAAAGGATCTTACCTTTAGTATGTAATGGGAATGTGTTGATAGTTTGCTAATATATAACTTGTGATAAGGAAGAATCAGTCAAAAGGTATCAGTATTTTCATACCCTTGCAGGGTATTATAATATTAGTCAGAAGCTTCTGGAGTTATGAAGGAGTCATTTTCGACCCTATAAATCATATATATTCTTGATCTGGATTAACAGGCGAATCTTTATAGCCATGTCTGGCAGAAAACAAAATTTTTCAAAACAAATTCAATTTTTAAAAAAAAGGAAAGGAAATTTTGACAATTTTTACGATGTAACAAATTGTCAAAATTTGGAACTTTTAAAAATTATATATTGAATATGCTGATTTATTAAACTAATGAAAATTAACATAAGAACGATTTCCGATTTAAAATAAAAGCCTTTTTTTTGGCTGAGTTATGAGGTTTTTGAATTTGGATTTTTTGAAAAAAATGTCACAAAAGATTTATAAGTATAGATTAGTTATGATCGATTTCAGATTCGATCCTAAAATTCCTCAAGTTTCCTATTTTTCTATAATTTCCTAGCAGTATATTTTTATATATAATCTTCCTATGTTCTAAGATATTTACTTTAAAAAATGAATATGAAATAGACCAAGAGTACGTAGAGGGTTAAAGCCCTGGCCATCTGTCAGGCACATGCTGGGCGCGGAAATTGGCCTCGTCGATGCGATGCCCAGCCAGCAGCCATTAATCGCATTACAATGCAGAGGCGGCAGGTAATAACATTCTGACATGGTCATGGTCAACCAGTGCCACTGGCTGGCGCATCCCCAGTCACATCATCGTCATCATCATCGTTATCATCGTCACCTGCCACGCGCGCCACATCACAACGGGCCATTTTGCTCACCTGGTACTTAATGGTCTGGCGGTAGAAGGGCTCCGCCGCATGCCGCACCACCCGCGTTTTCTTCTTGTGGCGCAGCCGGTCACCGTCCTTGATATAGCACTTGACATATGTATCTGGCGGCGTCTCACAGTCCTCGTTGACAATGTTCCTGGCACAGATTAGCTGGGACGAGAGGATGGTCAATAAAGTATATGCTTATCCGATGGCTTGCAACAGGCAAGCACTTACCTCCACCTCCACGTTGCCCTTGATCTTGACGAATCCCATCTTGAGCTCCCCGTAGCGGGCAGTGGTCAGACGATAGCCCTTGGGATGGATTTGCGAGGGGCCCAGCTTCAGCCCGTAGCTGGACTCTCCGCCCGTGATGGGTGATGTGTTCACATAGCTGCCACTAAGGGTCTTCACCACGCTCTGTTTCCGCTGTGGACTGTCGCCGGCATTGCCAACACCCAGGCTGGTGTCCATGCCCAAACCGGTGCCGCTTCTCTGGTACACGCTGCCCTTGCGGGTGGGTGTGCCCAGAGGCGGTGTCTCCGTGACCTTGGCCACATACATGCTACCCTTACGCTGCAGCTGAGTGGTGGTTGTAGTGGCCGCCGGAGCTGGAGCCTGGGATTCGCCCAGCTGGAACATGCTGCCCTTGCGCTGTTGCTGCTGCAACTGGCCGGTGGAGAGCAACTGACTCTGCCTGCCTGCATCCTGGGTCACATTCGATACGGAGGCGGCCTGCTTGAGCCGGGAGAGAGCCTGCTTAGGACTCTGGGGCGGTAGCTGGCTACCCGAGCCCTTCCAGCGTGGTCGATAGCGTTTGTCCTCGTCCTCGGATGGTGGACTGGTGTCCGCATTGCCCACACCCATCGGGAGATGCTGCTGCTGCTGCTGCTGGAGCTGGAGTTGTTGGAGCTGCTGCAGTTGCTGCAACTGCTGCTGGTGCTGCTGGGTCAGGTCCAGGATGGAGCTCTTGCGGCTGTTGGGTCCGCTGGGCAGGCCAACCCGGCTGGTACCTGTCCGGGGCGAAATAGATCGGTCAGAGAGCAGTTCCCTCAACGAAGGCATTAAAAGGCTTTTGAACTCAACTCAAAGAACCAAGTTTTTACGGGGCAATGATGACAAGTTATCCAGGGGCCAAATTGTTAATAAGGTAAATGCCAAAAAGTGATGGCTTGTACCCTGTTAACAATTGTCCACCTTGGGCTTACCATCAACGTTTGTTATTTTGGGACGGAGAATGAAGGTGTCTAGGTCTAGGACTAAGGACTAAGGACTAAGGACTAGAAAACGGTGAAAAGATAGAGCTATATTGAACAAAGCATGCTTCTAAAACGACATCTAATTTCGTGCGACATAGCTATATGCTATGTCTGCTTGGAAATGCCTTTTGCTTCATTATTTAGTTTAGCAAATTTATGTGTTTAATGTATTTCAAATTGTGGAAATGGACGTGGACTTGGCTCTTTCAGCCATGGGTGAGTGGCCCATCCTCAACTTTTCCATTTACTACTATTTTTTAAAAGTAACTTCCAAGGTTTTGGTTGCGCCCAAGTGGTCATCATGGTGGTGTGCATGATACTCTGCATTTACACTGTGACGGAGGACTATATAGTGGCCTATATCCTGATTCTAACTTCCTGTGAGTTTACCACCACATCCGGAGAGAAAACTCTTCTGGCCAACGCAGCGATGTTTGGCATGGTGTCCTCCGGTTTATTCATTGGCATTTTTGCGGACAAATACGGCAGGAAATTCGCCATCCAAGTGACTTTGTTGGGATCGCTCAGCTTCTCTTTCATATCCTCCCTTATGCCGGAGGTCTATTCGATGGCGGTTATGCGATTCATTCTTGGGGTTTTGTATGTATTCCGTGTTCTGTACCATCATCTTAACCACTATGTACTTATATGCAGCCTCAACGGTCCCGCCTCCTTGGGGATTGGCTACCTAATGGAGTATTATGCACCGAAATGGCATGCCTTGGCGGTCAGTGTTCAGGTCCAGGGAGTAGCATTGGGTTTGTTCTACAATCCGGCTATGGGTGGGCCATCCTGCCAGGGCAGTACAGCTGGAGGATTAGCAGCAATATTGAGGTCCGAACGTGGCGCTTCTACATGTGGGTGATAACCGTTCCCGGCTGGTTGGCTTTCTTCGGATTGTTCTTTGTGCCGGAGAGCCCCTACTTCCTGATGTATGCACGGCGCATGGAGAAGGCCACCGAGTCCCTTCAGTGGGTGTGCCGGCTGAACAGAAAGAAGTGGGACGAATTGAATATTACGCTTAGGGAGAGGGAGGCTAGGCAGGACAAAGGTGGCCGCTGTAAAGAGTTTGTTCTTGACACCCTTATGCTTTTTAAGCCACCAATTTTGCGTAACTTTCTCATCGCTGTGTTCTATATATTTGGAATTTTCTTTATGTGAGTTTATTCCCGTGATGAGGGATACACCGACCCAAAATATCCTTCTGCCTCGCAGTTCCATTGGTTTCGGTGTCTGGTATCCAGCTATCCGCAATGAAAATAGCAAGGAGTCAAAAACGCTGTGCCAAATCATTGAGGCCCATACTATGTTTCAAAAGAACGACAACAAGACAAAACCCTGCCAAGACCAAATGACCAACTTCCTTGATCCCATGTTCTACGCACTGACCTATGCGTTGATGTTCCTTGTGGTGACCGGCCTGGTGCTGTGCCTCCCTCGGCGATATGTCATGGCTTTGCATGTGGGTGTGGCCTGCCTGTTGGGCATAAGCCTGAACTTCATCCAGCATCCGTTGGGTGTGCTGATCGCCTTCACCCTGATGCTGGTTGTTCCTGGTGTTCTCATCGGACTGGCCTCATCCGCCCTGGCAGGTTGTGTCCCTGTCGAGTTGCGGGGCATGGCTCTGTGTTTGGCCAGATCCCTTTCGCGACTTGGATCCGTCGTGGGCAGCACCCTGGTGGGATTGTTGATGAAGGTCTCGTGTGTGGCCACGCTCAACATATTCGTTATTTATATGGCAGGTGAGTGGAGCCGTTTTAAGTAGTTAATATCCGACTATATATTGAGATAGTATCAGTTTGAAAAACTAACCTTAAGCCTTTACATTTGATTACAGTTTGCGTAGTATTGGCTCTCTGTCTTCCAAAGGAATTAAGAGCCACTATTGGACTTCGGTTTACATGATAAGTATTTGGTAATTTTAGAAAATGACAAACTATTTCATTAAATTTAGTATGTAATGAAGAGGTCTGTAACTTTATGTCAAAGCTGGGTTACTCAGCAAACTGTTTTTAAGCTTCAACTGACGTGACTGATGCGACGAAAACACGAAATGTAACACTGCCTGGATTGTGATGACCGATATAGATGAGGCTTTCACACTGATGGGTAAGAGTGATTCCGGCAGCTCATCCCTTTTTCCCTGATCTCTGGTTTAACCTGTAGGCTTTGGCCGGATGCAGATATGTGTATTCATTACCTGCTTCCTCCTCCAAATGTGGGCAAACAATGAGCAGATGGGCTTTGCCGTGGTGGTGGCAGCGGCCACTTGTGACCTCGAAATCTCAAATGAGCGTGTCAGCTGGCTTATGGTTTGCAATTTCGGCGCCCAGATGGTACTCTCGCTGGTTTGGGGTGAGATATCGGATCGATATGGCAGGCGGAAGGCGATCATAAGCACGTGTCCTGGTGCCCTATTGGCGTCCTTGCTGTCGGCATTTATGCCAGAGTTCTGGTCCTTCTTGGTCATGCGTGTCCTTACGGGTGCCCTGTGAGTACGAATCGATGTACTTGTTCCTGGTCTTGACACCACTTTTCTCGTAACATTCAGGTTGGGTGGACCCGTGGGCGTCATGATGACCTATCTGGGCGAGTTAACAAAGGTATCGCTTCGCCCCAAGGTCCTAAATTATTCCAACTATGCATTTGGTCTCAGCCTGATTCAAGTGCCGGGTAAGCTTCAACTTGAAATCTTGACTGATCTTATATACATTTTCATCCTTCCTTCGCCAGCACTGGCCATTGTGATTCTTCCTTTGAAAACGGGTCCATTGGAAAGCTGGCGTGCATTGCACTTGACAAGTATGTTTCCTGGACTTTGTGGCACGATTGCGATGCTATTTTTGCCAGAGAGTCCCAAGTTCTACTTGTCCATACATCAGGAGGCGAAGGCCATGAAAACAATGGAGAGGATTTGTCGGTGCAACAAAGGCAAGCATGTTACACTGGCCACCTTGGGCATTGAATCGATTACGCAGCCTCGCTTGGAGACCCCGTAAGTTTCCATGATTTATAATTAATATATTATTCCTTTTTATAATTTCACCTGATCACGATCCTGTATCACCGAAGAGATAAAGGACACTGCACCAAGTCTAAGACTTTGTTGACTAAATACCGCAACTACATGCTTCTGATGATGTTTATCATTGTCATCCATTCTGGAATGTGAGTACATTAACTAAGCACGGAACTGATCCTTGAGCCTCCTGGCACTCATAGTTGTTACCCTTGACTTGTTACAGGGGCTTTGGCCTACCCATTTGGATGCTGCGCATCAGAGTGGCAATGCAGTCGAGAAAAGAAGGACCCACTATGTGCGAGCACATGCGGGAAACGACTGCAGCGAGGATCATCCAGGTGAGGTGACTTATTACTTAGAAGACTTAGTTAATAAATCGTGATCACTTGTTCTTTTCCGACAGTGTGACCTGCAGCTCAGCGACTTGTTAGATGTCATCATCCATGGTTTCGTGGTTTTAGGTTTCTTTATAGTCACAAGTCTTCTCCTGTTCATCCTGTCGCGACGAGTGGTAATGCTTTCCTATATTGGCATAGCGATCATTGGCGGCATTAATCTCAACTTTGCAAGGAATAACCATTTGATACTGATATGTTTCTTTGCGTTGATTGATGCCCCACTGTGCTGCCTGAGGCTGTTAGTGACATTCCTCATAGACCTGATACCAACGCACCTGAGGTAAGCCATTTCATTTGTGATATCCTTTAATTCGATGATGTTTCTTCTGCAGGGGCAAGGCCATGGCAATTCTCTTTATGATGGGACGCATTGGGGTTTTGTCAACCAGTGTGTTTGTGGGCTATACCTTGGGCTGGAATTGTCATGCTACCTTCAATACCTTAATGATCATTCTGGCAGGTAACTATACCTAAAATATGTATTTTTCATTCACCTAAAAATGTAAACAAACAGCGTCTGGTATTCTTGTCTTTATGTTACCTTCGGATCGTCGCATTCAGGCGATGTATAAATCATAAAAAATTCTATTCATAAGTGATTTCTTATCGACGACCTTTAATAAAAAACAATTGTGAGTTGATATGCTTGTTTCATTCAAGAGTAATGGGAAAAAGGGAGTCCCATCTTTCCCAATCAATCATTCAATCAATTGGGCGCACACCAGCATAAAGTTTAAGGAGCAAGGCTAAAGGATTATGCCCAGAGATCAAATATTTTTGTAAAAAAAAGAGAAATAATAAAAATAAACGTCAAATAAACTTTGGAGACAGATGTGCGCGTGTGTGTGCGTTTGTACAGAAGAGTCTCTGTGTGCGTGTCTGTCGCATGGCGGGCGGATATGAAAGTGCGTAAAAGGCAAAACGGAAACGGAAGCCAAGGCAATCGCTAAGCGGCTTAATAATAACTGTCGAGCAAGAAAATCGAATTGCAGGGACAAAACGAAAACGAGAAAAGGGCAAAGCGAGAATCAAGAATTGAGAAAACGGAGAAAACATATTGGTAAAGGAAGGACATAGCAGTGTAGAAGCTTTCTTTTGCTGAACAGGCACAATAATAGGGACATCATCCCCAGCGAGAATGGAGCTGTCAATTCCGCAGAAATATATATATCTAAATGTATATACATATATATTCACGTACAGAATTTTTGGCAGACACAGACGCTGCTTATTTTCATATTTAACGGCTTGTTTGTGGCTCTGGGAAATATGTATTTTTTCGGCTTTGTTCTGTTATCGCGCTTTTCTTCTGTCTGTGAGTTTTCATATTTCGCTTTTAAAAGTTAATTTCAAGGCTGAGCTATTCCGCCGTTTCGGCGTTGAAGGGTTTATAAGGGCGGCGAACTGTGGCAAAGCCAACAGGTAATAAGACGTCACCCCAACCATTTTCCACCCAACTGCGACTTTGCATTTTAAAGACACACAACACAAGAAAATTTGTTGGGTTGTTTTTTGTTGGCTTTTGTCGTTCCTTCACCGTCTTGCATATTTTTCTTCTATTTTTTTTGTTTTGATAACTTTTTTGGGGCTGTGAAAATAGCATCAATAAGCTTAAATAAGCCCCAGCCACAGCCACAGCCACAGCGACTTGAAGATGGCATCAGAAGTTGTCCTGGGATACTCCTCCTTGACTGGATTATCCAGAGAGTACGTGGGGGTCTTTGTGTGTATTTTTGTAATGAGATTTTCGCCAGCTCTCAACATGCACATGTGAGCTGTAGTACATATACTATATATATATATATATAAAATGGATTCTAAGTAATTGTGTACTGGCGAGTGGGCGAGTTAATTAAGTGGCAGCTAGGACATGCAGCTAGGACTCGCAGGTACAAGGAGTGAAAATGAAGAAACCAAAATGCCAAAACGCAACTCAATCTCAACTCAAGTACATTTTGCATTCTTACCAGTGGTGGGTGGTGTTCTTATTTTATTTATTTTTGTGTGATAGTTTTTGCTATAAATATTTTGCAGCTAAGCTCAATTTGCAGGTCTTAGCATTCATTCGGTTTTGTCTTTTGTTTTATCTTGTATAATTTACAAAAGGGTTTTCTGTATTCGGTTTTCGGGTTTTCTGTTCAAGATTTCTACCATTTCTGTGGTTTTGGTGGTGCAGTGTTAATCGGTCCTTTTCATTAAGTTAAGCAAAAGAATTACGAATACTGAATATACTGACAGGTGCTGAGGGCTTTAAACAAAGTGTTGTGGCTTGTAGTTGGTGCTTTATGCATTAGTTGATTTGGTTTATTGCTTTTAATTAAGTTTGTTGTGTGGCTTTAAGTTTAAGTTCATTCATTTAGTGTTTTGTCCAGTTTGTGTGGGGTGTGTCAAAGCTTTGATAATGCGACACCGATATTGTGGCTAATAGTGGGAAAGATATGGAAGAGATATTAGAGAAAGAGAGAGAGAGATTATATAGAGGTGTACGATGCAAATGTCAGATTTAAGGTATAGTATAAGGTGTCCATTAAGTGAGAGCCAAATAATGATCAGACACAACTAGCAGCAAGCCACAGTTGAGGGTTTTTGTGAGGAAAAACAGAAAATGCATAGAGTCAGAGAGACAGAGTGAAGTATAGAGGGAATAATAGGTGGAAGACATCAGCAAGAGAGTTTCCTTGCAGCAAGTGTTCAAAGGTTCAGGAGATCCTTTTGGGAAAATCATAAGGCTTAACATCTAACTTAGGGATTATACTAAAGATTATATGGTGACATGAAATAAATCCCGTAAGCAATTGTTTTTTAATTTTAATTATTATGAATAAACCTAATGAAAACCTAAATCCAACCTAGAAAGTTATACATTTTGTACATCCCAAGTCTGTATTAATCAAATTACTGACTGAAATGAGAATCCCTGTTTTGGGTATAAAAAATAAATGGGAACAGTCTTTCCGAAGTCCAAATATTAATACTCTTGTGTCGTTTAGAAATTTGTTACCCTTTCCGAATCTATTCTATTGTTCTATTTATCATTATTGCATTTAAATATATTATTTTGTATTGCAGATTTTCTTTGTAGATAAACTCAAGCAAAAACAATATAATTGGTATGGATTTTATTGGTATTTTTTAATACGAAAAATTTTGTGACAAATCAAATTTTAAAAAACGCATAACTCAGCCAAAAATGCATGAAATTCAATTCGGAAAGCTGTTCTGTGCTAGTTTTTACTAGGTTAACAAATCTGCATACTTTGTTTAAAATTTTAAAATTCTCAATTTTTGGTCAATTTTTGCAAATTTTAATGATGTAACCCCTTATCATTTTTTCAGATTTTGGCCAAATTTTGAAAAAATTATTTTTCGTCCGGAGTAATCAGGATCGACGCAGTTCTTTGTGCTGATCATGAATATATATGGTTTATAGGGTCGGAAATGACTCCTTCGATGTGTTTTAAGCTTCTGACTGAAATGAGAATCCCTGTTTTGGGTATAAAAAATAAATGGGAACAGTCTTTCCGAAGTCCAAATATTAATACTCTTGTGTCGTTTAGAAATATAGGGTATACAAATTTATTTTGTTTAATGGAAACCTTGAATTATATTACTTCATGTCACCCCCTTTGGATTTTCACTTTGTAAAATAACAATCATAAGTATTATTAAGCAACCCACGATCTCCCAGTTTATCCCCTATACTCACGTCGCGATCCCATACGCTTGTGCTGCTCGGTGCCCAGGCTCATGGTCCGTCCCAGCTCCCCGCGCACAGCCTTCAAGGATTTCAAGATCTCATCCGGATCGCGTCGAGCCACAGACGAACGGCGCCGGCCCACCAGATAGGAGGTGGGCGGCGTGGCCATGGCGTCCTCCTCTTGCAGCCGCTTTTGTTCGGCATCCTGGAAGCTCGATCGACGCGAACCCGGCAATGAGCGCGAGAAGTCCTTGCCCAGCTGGTAGACCTCCACCTCCATGGTCTCCGACTGCGAGGAGCCACGCCTCGAGCCGGCAATCCAAGCATGATCCGGATGCAGCAGCGATGTCCCATCTCCGATGGAGTCTACATCATCGGAGATGGAGCGCTGCATATTATAGTCTCGCCTCAGCAGTCGAGTCACATCGCCGCAGGGAGCACCAGCTCCGGCAGCAATGGAGCCACGTGGCGACACGCTAGGTGATTTGCTAATACTAATGCCACGCAACCCCTTGGTGTCCTCCAACCGACACCAGATGGCCTGGTCATCGAGGAAGGCCTGCTGCAGCTCAATACTGCATTCGCCCAAAAAGATGGACTCGGTATGTGGCACCAAGTCCCACAATTGAATGTCTATATAGCGATCCATTAGGGTATCGGCCTTCACATGACCAAAGGTCAGCGTGGCATTCCAAATCGGATTCTGGGTGGGCCGACTCACCTCCGTCTGCTGCACACTGCCATCGCCGCTGTGAAAAGAATAGAGGAAAATAGTTGGGAAAATGATAAAGAAGAATAACGATTTCTCCACTAACCATTTGGGTAGAATGCGGACCTTGGCATATGCCTCCGGCAGGTTGCCATGTCCATAGGCCTCGTCCCTCAAGGCCAGGTCATCGCCGGCCATCAGGGAGACGACGAGCTCGTGGCGCTCCGCATGATACCAGACCTGGATCTGGACGCGACCGGTGACCAGTTTCTCGCGGGCAATTTGCTCCTGCGGCGAAGCAAAAGCTCGTTAGTGGGAACAGTCACGCAATCTCCGACTCTCAGAAAGCCTCCTGTTTGCTATTTATTCAACGCTTAACAAACGCTAGGAATATATCTAGATATGCTAGATTTTAATACAAGTCTAAATTTAATATATGTTCTATGGTTTTTTGTGCCTACACAAAAGCGTCTGTGCCGCCTGGCCTCTATTTACATTTAGTTTTCATTTTTATTTTGCATTTACATTTTACAATTCTTCGGCTGGCTGGGCTTCTGTTTTAGTTTTTCGCTTACGCTTTTGTTGTGTTCTGCTGGTGGTGTGTGTGTGTGTGTGTGTCTGTGGAGTGTGTGTACATAACTGAACAACAAATTAAAGCAATCAAAACGTAAATAAAACTAATTAAACGAGTGAGAACGAAGGGGGTGGGAATGGTGGCTGCTTGTGGCGGTTTTCGGGCATGCCAGTGAAACTACACATACTACATATAACTTTGCCCCCTTTGGGGAAAAGCACACATAAATATAATGCAAATTATGATGTTCGCATGTGTTTTCTATTTACAAAAAGGAAGCACTGGGATGCAGAGACACACAAATGCACACACACACACACCATACACACACACACACCCATGCACAGATGATAAACAAAGGGAACCGCAAATGCAATCTGCTTCAGGGGGCTCGCTCTACTCGGTGTTGTGTCTCTCTAGTGTTGTATGTTATGCGTTTTGTATGGGCCCCCAAAAGCGGAAGTCATTGTGGTGCAGTTGCGCATGAAGGTCCTGGCGATTGTTGTTGCCGGTGCTAGTTATACGTGCACTGAGAAAATAGGTAGAAACTTGTTGGTTTATACTAAAACTACCAATAACAATATGAATTATCAAGATACCTAACATAAAGACACGCAATATGATATATATTGAACCTTATTTATTATGATTTATATTCCTAACTCAAAAAATTCGAACTTTATTATTAATTATTCTTTAACAATTAATTAATTACTTCGATATACCACCTTTTAAGCTCTCTAAACTATTCCAAAATTTGATTTTTCCCTAGTGCTGGTTAGTTGGTAATGGCGCGTACCTTCATAACATATTCATGGCGTGTACATGCGCAGCAGCAATAATAAAAACAACAACTATATCTCGGGCATCGTCGAATTGACTTTCTCCATGGCAGATCTGCAACGGAAGCCGCCATATTGCAATAACGTGTACGAAAGCGGAAATGGAAGCCACACACCAAGCACACACACACATACAGGAACATGTATTCCAAAAACTGCGAACTGTTGCTCGCAAAACTTTTTTACGAGCAAGCAAAAAAAAAAAAGAAAATTTTCGGGGGGAAAAGAAAAATATTACCGCGCGCACACTTCTCATCTGTGGGTGGAAATCGAATTCGTGTTGGTACTCTCTTATAAGGCGGCGCGTTTATTTTTATTTTTATCTACAGGTAAGCAGGCACATGTACTTGCAGGATTATTGGAGTTTATCAGGCATCAAACAGGCGCCGGCGATAAAAGCCTAAGCACTTGAAAAACTTTTCCATGGGCAAATATGAAGAAGGAGGCGAACGGCGGCCTGTCGTCGATAATAATAATGACGAGGCCCAGGTCTCTGTCTGGATCCTTTCGCCTGGCCTGTGGAATTGTTGTTAAAAGTTTTCTAATTTTCGACATTTCAAGCATTTTATGCCTCGCAGCTGTCAATTAAAGGGCGACAGGCGAAGGCGACCGCACCTGTTGCTGACAAGTCCGCTGCCAAGTCGGCTAACCGCGGGGATCCTGCGGGAAGAGCCAGGACTCGCTCACTTGACACCTGGCCTCATACACACACACATCTATATATATATACATATATATCTATATAGATTTGCCCCCTTTTTCGCTGGAATATACATAGATATAACTCAAAGTGACACAAAAGTTTTGCGGCAAATAAAGTTGCGTATGAATAATAAACGAAGACATGCCAGAAGTTGGGGGAGCGGGGATTTAGATTTAGAAACACAGAGAGATAGACACAGATATATGTATATACAAGAACTAATCCTATAAATGCTACATACAGGGTATATATTTACAGGGCGGGGATCAAAGTTTCTTGATTTCGAATTAAATTCATTATGCACATTATGTGTTTAATAAATGAATCAATCAATCAATCGATCCGCGGCAAGTCAATCAATCTGCAATCAATTTCGATGACAGTCTCGGTTTCTCTCTCTTTTACTTCTTTTTTTTGTTTGTTTTGTACATAAGTTATATATTTAAGCTTGTTTTGATCTCGTTTTCCGTTACTGTTTCAATATTTTCGGTATTTTTCTGTTATTTGTATCTGTTTATAGCCATAACTCGTGCCAGCTGGGGTTACATTTTGGTTGTACAGGAAATGAAAATTGAGTTCGTATACAATCGATAATCGGTGGTGGTAATAGTTTATTTATAAAGTATTTGTTTTTGGTTTTGGTTTTTTTTTTGTTGGAGAAGAAATGCTAATCGGTTTAAGTTTAAGGATTCAAGATTCAAGAGCCACTAAATGCTAGTCAAACAAATTTGTAGGCTTAGGCGTTAGGTTTTTATGCAAATTAGGCAAAATGCAAACAAATCAAAGTGACTTGAACTCAACTCGAAAATGTAACTCAAATTGCAAACAAAAAGTGAATAGAAAACGAAGAAGAAACTGAAACATTTCTGTGTGGTGTTCATATGTTTCTTTCTGTTCTGTTCTGCGACCCTGGACCCAAGTACTTTAGATGCTGTTCAGGAGACCACTCTATAACTAGGCACGAACATCGGGTACATTAGCGCACAATAAGCTTTTGTTTGAAACAAACGAAAAAAAACGGGTAAGTAAAAGACTGAAACAGTGTGTGTGGTAATATATAGACAGGGCTTCGCATCGGTGTGAAATAAATACACGACACTATAGTTCATAGAGATATAGGTATATACGGTAGCGGACAGCGGCATAATTACGGAGAAGAAGAGTCGGAGGGTTTTATGCAAAGCCAAACTGAACAGATCCAAAACCAAACGGAACGAAAGGAAACGAAGCGGGGAATCGAGACGAAGGTGAACGTAAACATTTGCTAAGCGAAAGCCAAACAAAAGCTCATAAATTGACAGAGAGAAAGAGTGAGTAGGGAGGGAAAACAGGGCGTATACGTAATAAATAAAATGGAACCAAATCGAAACCAAAACGGAAACGGAAACCGAAACCGAGGTAGAAATAAACGCAGCATTACATGAAACAAAACAAGGAGAAAGCAGCGCACTTTACAATACATATTGATGGGGGTCTTTACAAAATGTCTATATATATATATTTATATATCTTAAAAGAACCTGGCTATGTTACACACTTGGTCAGGGGGAGGTATAATAATTATCGTAATAGTTTAGTTCTCTAGTGGGCTTTTTGGGGTGCTAAAAACTGTACAGAGCATGTCTAGATAGGGGCTATCCGAGTAAAAGATATAGTATTTATAGGGGTAGAGGAGGCAGTTGGATGCTTAATGTACAAAGAGTACTGTGAGTTGCTTTTGTTCATTTACCATTTGACTGATGGCTTCGGTGATGGGGTCTTTTCGTTTTTTTGTTTTTCGGTTGACGGTGATGGTAGACACGGCGGTGATTCGGCGGATCTGCGGATGCGGGTCTGCTGCTAAACCGGCTGCTGTGCGAAAGGATATAAAGCAAGTCCTGGCGAGAGAGAGATTCTCAATTGTTTGCACGCGGTTCGTTTTGTTTTGCAGTTTAAATAGAGAGACTTTATTTTTCACATTTCTTTTGTTGCTTGTTTTTTCTTTTTGTTTTTGTTTTGTTTGTTAGCAGTTTTTTGTTTTTCTTATCAGTTTCGTTTTTTAGGTTTCTAGCACATTGGTACGCTGGTATACGCTTTAGTGACTAATAACTGGATGTATATAGATATATATATTTGATGTATCGTATAGCGCAGATATATATATTTATAGAGATTGGGTTACATGCGACAAATTAATCTGCGGTTAGCGGTTAGTGCTAATCTTAAAAACCATCATCAGTTTTTGTTCACATTTATCCTCAACCTCACTCTCCAGCCCAATGATGTTGTAAAGGTTTCATAAATTTAGTACATAGTTCAGTTTACACAGGTATAGTTTACAGTTAAGGTTACAGTTAAGGTTACAGTTACGATTACGGTTAAGGTTACGATTATGATTACAAGTAAGGTTACGGTTACGGTTACAGGTTACAGGTTACAGGTTAGGAAGTCTATACAAAAGGTGTTGTGATCGAAATCAATGTCAAGTTATCACCCATCTGACAGGAGTTACATAGCTAAAAAAGCATCATCTTTGCTTCAAGGTAAACGAGTAAATTCAGTTAGCTCTTTCTAGTTTCGAAAATGATTCGGCACTCTCCATTCTTCACACTTAAAAACGAGTCTGTTATGTTATGTTATGTACGAGTAGGTGGGCTCCACAGTGTTTCTCCTTCGTTTCCGTTTCCGCCTTCAGTTATTTTGACATTTACAAAAACACAGCTCTAACAATGACATAAATAGAGAGGTGGACATATACATGTAACTTGTATTGGGTCTACAAATAATGCGCACAACTCTCGGACTTTAGTCGTGTGCCAAATACACATTTTATATTATATATATGTATATATATTTATAGGGAGTCTCGGGTACTTTGGTACTTAAAAACACATTAAACATTTCAACAACAAACTACTACTTTTGTTCTGTTTTTTTTTATCCAATTTGGTTTGGTTTTTTTGGTTTCTGATTTGCTTATATCATAAAGTCAATAATAACATTTAAAACACACACAAATATTTGTTAAACTCTGTTCGCTACAAACTTTGCACTAGTAACATTTATAAAGATTTCGGTTTTTGTCGCTCTATAAACTATATATATAAACAGGAAGGGCTACTTAAAATCCCCCGACAAGGTGCCAGAATGTAATGTAGGTTTTTTTTGCCGAAATCCAATGTAAAAATAGGTCGATTTGGGAAGTACAATTCACTACAAACATTCGGGCAGCTTGCCAGGCGATTTCAAATCTTTAAAACCCCTTTTTCTTCTTTTTAATATTTAACTGGCCCAAGTTCAGACTCAGAATGGCCATTTTACGAGTATATATATTTAGTTAGCATAACGACGATATCGCGTCTCTGTAGGTTTTTGTTCCTTTGTTATTATTGTATTCGATTCGCAGAGATCGGAGCTCTCTGCTCAAGCGGCTTGTCGGAATTTAGGTTTTAGGATTTAGGGGAGTAGCTCATAATTCGTTTCTCGAGTGTGAGTTATCATAGACACGAACGTTATCAGTTAAAACTTTATCTTAAAACCCTATTGTTGGTGCTTTGTTCTTACTGTGATCCTCGGAGGGGGCAATTCGATTGCCCCGCGAAGAAGTATTTAGAAGGTTTCAACCGAGGAAAAAAACAGACTTGAAAATAAAGAGAATATTATGCGATACAGCCTGTATCGGATCCACATCCTTGAGCATACACATATCTATAACTCGCGGACTATATAGTTAGTTAGGTTCGCTAAGGCTTAGTCTCTATATACGTTAGTTGGGCATGTTAGTAATATATATATATATTTTTGTAGTTTTTTTGTTTTATTCTCGAAATCACTAAGTTCTACCAACACCGAAAAAATAAAATGTATATATTCAAGTACATCTGGTGGTTATTATGACAAAGAATAGCAATATATGAACACATTTAGCCATTTCGCATGGTTAGTAATTATAATTTGTAGTAGAATATCAACGGAAAACTCAAGTGTAAGTTGAAAACTCAAAAGGGAAACCCAATGGAAAACACATAGAAATAAGGAATAATATATATATATTACTCAGTTAAGCTACGGTAAATATCGGGGATGAATGTGTTATTTGGTAACCAAAAGCAAAAGTTCAAAGGAAATCGTTGAATCAGTGACTAGAAAAGGTGAGTTTTATACGAGTATTTTGATATATATATATATATACTGATATATATAGCATGGAAGCTGCAATTCATGTACGAAGAGTTCAATTCATTTCGTGAGAGCACTTTGTGAAAGCTGAAATCGTGTGGAAAACTGCTGCAAATGCTTAAGCTGCATTTAATAGCTACTTTTATATATATATATAGTATATAGTATGTATATGGTTTCAGTTTTTGTTTTTTGACGTTCAGTTTGGGCTTTAGTTTGGCTTGCTGCACATAGCTCGGTGTGTTCTCAATTATGCGGTACGTTTTAAATTAATATAGTTGTATATAGTATATGGTATATGGTATAGTATGTTCACTCTTCCTCGACTGCTGCCGCAGCGCAAGTTCTCTTACTCAAAATGAATAAAACAAAATAGTTTTATACCGGAGTTTTTGGTAATTTCCGTCTAGTTGGCGATGCTGGTGATTTGTCTGTTGTGGTTTCGGGTTCTGTTTTTTCATTATCATTATTTTTTCATTTGTAACAAGAAACGAGAGCAACAAATGAAAATTATGTAAATGTCATAGTTGGGCTTTATTATATATAAATATAATTAGGTAAGTTTATGTGGGGTTTTATGTACAGGTATTGGGATTTCTTAATGTGTTTTATTATCAATCAAAGATCAACTTACCCGCAATGAGGCCCAGGCCCACGGGTCCGTCCCCGGAACGCCGTGGTCCACTCTGTCCACCGGCATTTCCCGGCGGCAGATTCTCGTCGAACAAATCGCACATCCGGAAATCCGTGGCATGCTCCACCAGCAACTCCACAATGTCCCCGGTGCGATCCATAATGGAGCAGACCTCCTCGAAGCTTCGATCGATCAAGGACATTCCATTCCATTCCAGTATCTGTAGAGATTGTAGGTGAAAATATGGAGTATATATATTTTAACTGGGATATTTTTAGTTGAATAAATCAAATAAGGTAAGAAATATTTTCATTTTAATATTACAATGAATTATGATAAATCAAATTTTAAAAATCTCATAACTCAGCCAAAAACTCATTAAATTCAAATCGGAAAGCGGTTCTGTGTTAGTTTTTATACGGCTAACAAACCTGCATACCAGATTTTTAAATTTAAAAAGTTAAATTTTTTATCAAAATTTTGCTAATTTTAATGATGTAACCCCTTATAATTTTTTCAGATTTTGGTCAAATTTTGAAAAAAATGTTTTTCGCCCGGAGTCATCAGGATCGACGCAGTTTTTTGTGCTGATCAAGAATATATATGGTTTATAGGGTCGGAAATGACTCCTTCGATGTGTTTTAAGCTTCTGACTGAAATGAGAATCCCTGTTTTGGGTATAAAAAATAAATGGGAACAGTCATTCCGAAGTTCAAGTATTAATACTCTTGTGTCGTTTTTAAATTTGTTATCTTTTCCGTATCTGTTCTATTGTTCCATTATTCATTATTGTATTTAAATATAGTATTTTGTAATGCATAACTATTTTCTACATTACTTCGAACAAAAAACCAATATGATTGGTATGGATTTGATTGGTATGTATTAATATGACAAATTTTTAGACAAATCAAATTTTAAAAATGTCATAACTCAGCCAAAAATGCATGAAATTTAAATCGGAAAGCTGTTCTGTGCTGGTTTTTATTAGGATAACAAATCTGCATACTTAGTTTAACATGTTAAATTTTTCCAATTTTTGCCAATTTTTGCAAATTTTATAAAATTTTCAATTTTTGGAACATTTTTGAAAATTTTTTTTTCGACCAAACATGGCTAGATCGATTTGGCTTTCAATACTGATCAAGAATATATATGATTTATAGGGTCGGAAATGATTCCTTCACTTCGTTTTAAGCTTCTGACTAAAGTTATAATACCCTGCCAAAGTATAAAAATTGCTTGGCTCGTAAATAAGAAATATTGAGATGGAATTTTCACTCCCTCCATATTCCCATTCCAAATTGTGTCAGCCAAAGGTCATCAATCATGAGCTATTAATTTCAGGCCTGGCAGCTGGCAGCGCGTGCACTGCGGTTGGCCGCACTCCAGCACCCCTTTTTGAGGTCCTGCCAGCAATTATTCCATCCCAGCTTAAATACTTCACCATGAAATCTCTGGATTCCTCACACTCACCTTGTCGCCCTGCTGCAGGCCATTCTTCTCCGCTGCTCCGCCGGGCACCGTCCATACAATGTAGGCAAAGAGACGACCATCGGCTCCAGTCTTGCCACCAACGACTCGCATCCCGAAGCCACGTGCTGTGCAGGATGAGACAACAAGGCAACAAAGTAGTAAGATTTAATAATAAGAGCCAGCTCACGCGTCTGAAGATTATGCCAAGAGGCCAGGGGAGGAATAATCAATAGACTGGGAGCGGCAGAGAGGTGCTTCAAATGTAACGAAAAATCCGGGGACTGCGACTAGGCACGTACACCAAGATACAGATACAAATTTCGGGCATGTGGCAACAATTTGCGTTGATTTCATTTGCACTTTCCAGTGGCCAAAAACCCCGTCAAAATAAACCCAACCGAAACTGAACGAAATCCTCACGTTGCGCATACGCCATGTCGTCCCGCTCTGTTTGTGTCTGCAAAGTTTTTCTGCTTAGTCAGCGCAAAGTCCTAACTGGATGGATGTCCTGCTGGTCCTGCTAACCATTCGCAGTATTTTTCTTTTTCGTTAAATTGACACAAATTTATTTGTGCGACATAAACTTGACCCCTTCAGACATTTATTGCACTTTAAGTGGGGGTGGTAGCAAAATCTGTTAAGGGAGCTCTTACATCACTGTAGATTTTTCATTTTGTGCAAATATTATCCATAAGTTTCAATGAAAACTAAAGTTTAGCTGCTTTTGGCTACAATGAAACGAGGATTCAGTGCCGACTTAAATTGGGAAACAAAAAAACTTAAATATGCAGCATTGTTGAATAATTTAAAAAGTTTTTAAGTACAAGTAAAGAACTTAAAAATATCTTTAGGGAGTAAAGAAAAGGTTTTTAGTAATTTGTCTTGCTCAAAATAGATTATGTTTAAGAGAAAATATTTATTATTTATTTATTATTATTATTTTCCCTTAATTTAATGCCTTCCTTGGTTCAAATGTAACCCTTAAAGCGCTCAGTACATTTGAGAAGGCGGTTGCCTGGCGAATGAATCCAAACAATTTAATTAATTAAATTGCAATTTCTAGAGGGGGCTGCAGTTCAGTTTCAAGTACTTATCATTTGGCGCAGAAAACTAATTTCAACAATTTGTGCACCGAAAACTTGGCGAAAGCGGATTTCCGCCGCCACTGCCAAGGGCCGCAGGCCAGATCCAGACCCAGGCCCAGGCCCAGGACCAGGTCCAGGACAGACAATGGCCAAGAAAGTTAACCAGTTCGCAGCAGGGGAGCGAGCAGCGATGACAATGAAATGCCGTTGCCAAGGTGAGCTTCCTCCAAGGAGCTGAAGGTGGAGCTGTAGCTGTAGCTGAAGCTGGAAGGACACAGCGGGAAGGACAGCTGAGCTGAGCTTTGCTCAGTCCAACTTTTGCGCAGGAAATGGCGGCAAACTTGGCGGTGCTCCTGCCCTCGTTAGTATGCAATAAAATGTTGCGCATCCGCTATCCACCATCGGAGCCATGTTGATTCAGGCGCATTGATACCCAATTAGGATAAGGCGACATTTTTTTTCTTCGTAACCCGCCCACTTCCTGCCGCTGTTTGCTGAGTGTGTTTTAATCAAAAGTTTTTTTTTGCCAGGACTCCCGCCTAAAGACTGCAATAAAAACGATATAAATAAAACGCAAATCCTTTGGCTGTCAGCGCGAGCAAAAGAAGAAAGAGGAAAATCAAGGAAACGAGCCTTACATTGAGAATAAAAAAGGGAAAGAAATTAATTTGAAATAAAGGAAGTTGTATTTAAATCATTAAAAATTTGAAGACCAGCAAATTGTTTAACTTTCGCGGAAATAAGTCAGTCGAAAAGTAATATAAACTACAAAATCTTAGTTATTTTTTTCCCCTTCTTAATCAATAAATTCTTGTATATACTTCATAAATGGTAGGTAAAACTTTTATATATCTCTAAACCCTAAAAATCTTGTCTTTCACAGCATTTCCAATATATTTTGATTAAAAATATATTATTTTCAGCACTAATCCAAATACTTTTCCCAGTGCAGCTTATTCTTTTGATGACGCAACAGTTTTGGGTTACTCGCGAATGCCGGCCATTTGCCTTTAAGCCAGCACTTAACATGGCCAAAATGCGCGAGCTGAGTGAAATTTTCGATTCGTTTTGGCCATAAAAATCATGGCCCTCCAAACTGAGCTAAGCTGCTGAGCTGAGGTAAGGTCCTCCTTTTTTTGGGCTATTTCCAAAGTCTTTTGTCTCATTGTTCCACTGCCCAATGTCCGCTGGCCCTTTTCCGTGAGTATTTACCATTCTCTCGGCCAGGTCGGGCTTTTATGATACAATTTGTTTGCCGGATGGCCAACGATTTTTTATGCGCCCATCATTGGGATTTAATAAGCCCGAGTCCTGGCCACACACAAAGGTGTGTGTTGTTTATGGCCAAAAAAAGTGAGGATGCCAAGGGGTTAGTCCTATTTGGGGCATTGGCATCCATTTCTTTTGTTGCCCGAAGGCCGTAAATATGCCGGCAAATTTAATCAACATATGTGCACGTGCGTATGGTTCGCAGGACGTTCTCAGGACGATTTGCACATTGAATAGCGAATATTCCCTTAAAGATTTTCCACTTTAATTGGAAAAACTATCTGTCCAAGGTCCTCCTCCTTTCTCCCTTTCTCTGGGGTTTTTTCTTTGGCAACTTTATAATTTGTGTCCTGGCAGTGGCAGTGTCCTTGCAGGAACAGACACATCCTGTGTAATGGCATTAACTGAGCAAACTTTTAGCTGACACACATTGAACGACTTAATCGATGCACACAGGTGTGCACTGCCAGCACACCTTGCATCCTGGCAACCTCGTATCCTTGCCGCACACTCCCACGAGAATTGTTGCCCAAGTGTGGGAAGAGTCAGAGGAGCGTAAGCGATTTAGTGGCTTCTATCAGTTGCCATAAAAATTGACTCTTAATTAAACTAGCAAAGCGAGAGACATGGAGAAGATAGTGTTAGTCGAAGAACGACCCAGTCCTGGCCATCAGCATATCAGCATTTCCCTAGATTAAACTAATAAACCAACTGAAGACGAGGTGGCATCCTTTGGCAGCAACTAAGTCTGCTCGAGAGAGTCTTATGGAAAAATCCCCTCGATGCGAGTGACTTGCGGAGGCGGAGAACTATGAAAAGGCAGCCAGGCGAGCAGAGGCGTGGTTGCCCAAGGATGTGGATATGGCCACCTGTTGGCCACAGAACCGGGGCACGCAATGCCAGGACCTCTGGTTTCGTGATTCCCCGCAATAAATGACTGTGTGTGCGGCTCATGAGGCTGCATAAAATTTCATTAGGCGTGTTAAGGCGCCATTTGCAGAAACACCTGCACCTTCCCCCGCCAGGGAAACCGTGTAGAAACCCACCAGATCCTCTCCTCCCGGCGATTAACAGTCGCTATCGGACATCGTTGGGAAACACTTAAAGCGATGCATAATTGAAGGCCCGAGTTGGAAATGCCGACTGGGAAACAATTCAATTACATGGCTCCCTTGGCCCATTGCTGGATGGATCTCTTGCTCTCTAATTAAAGTTCTCCATTAGCCATGCGAGTGCAGCGGCTAATTAAGCTCACAGGTGTGTGTGTGTGAGTGCGTGTGTGCACCTGGCAATGTGTGTAATGTTAATGCAAAAAACTGTACCATGTTTCGGGGTGCAGCAATGAAATTACAAGACATTGCCAGGCAAATGCGGCGTCAGTCGATATTAGTGATGGTATAAAATATATATAATATACATATATATATGAAAAATATATAGTAACTGTACAGACAATAATATAGAACTTTAATAAAATCTATAACAAATATAATAACTACACAACAAGATCTTAAATATAAATGTGTACTATGTTTAATATTTAGCTTTAAAGAGTCTTTAAAATTAAATTTCTTTGTAATTCCATGAACTATTTATTTGTAAAAAGTTCAACTATGTTGTTGCTACTATCATAAATATTAAATACGTTTAAGAAACTATATTTATTTTATGAAAGTTTCCATTTAATGCATTATAAAAGCTCTTGGCTTAAACTGGCCCTGTTTTAGAAGGAGCAAACCCCATATTCAGCACCCATAATCAAATTTCTTTACTTTAAATACTATTTCACAGCTCAAAAATGAATCTAATATTTTCTTTCGATATTAAATATCGTTTATAATCCCCTCGATAGACATCTCCAAGTCAATATATCAAGGAAGTTGAAGCACAGCTGTGCCTTAGCCACAAGCCATGTGTCGTAGAGTCGCGTCTCCTTGTCGTCGCCTCCTGTACAGAGCGTATGTGAGATGTGGTTAAGGCGACGCGATGCTCTGCTCTGGCAGGTACAAGGATAAGGATATACAAGGATATATACGGCAAATACCAGCAGCGGTGGCAAGCCAAGGAAATGGTTTAGCACATTAAAATTCCACTTGCTTCGCTGCATATCAAATATGCCGGGGTAAGCAGCCACTACAGCCGGGTTATATGGAGACAAGGCTTGCTCCCGAGTGGGTTTAACTCATGATATCGCCAGGATACAACCCACATTCCTGCATTAGCTTGCAGCTGCGTGTGCCTGCGCCTGTCTGTGTCCTATTTGTTGTTGGTTATTGACATTTCTGTTGTTGCTGCTTCTTTTTTTATGATATGCAAATTGAAATTTTATATTAGCAAGCGCACGTCGCATCGGTGGCTAACCGATGGGAAAAAAAGTGGGGGAAAACTTCCTGAAGGCTGCCAGCGGCTAGTTATTTTGATTGGAATTATAGGCGGTCCTTAAAGGCTTGCCAGGATATCCCAGAAAAGCTATAAGTGGGCATGAACTTGAGAATCGTTTTATTGAATAGTTTTATTGGGGTTTTGATGAATTTAAATATATCAAAAATAGAAGCAAAACTAACTTTGAAAACTTTAATTTATCATAACTAAGACAAGAATGCATTAATTTCAATTTGGAAATCATTCCTATGCAAGTTTTTATAAGCTTAATGAAACTGCAAACTTAGTTTGTAATTTTAAGAAATTCAATTTTTTGCCAATTTTTGACAATTTTAATGATGTAACCCCTTATAAAATTTTAGAAAAATTGCAAATTTTTGAAAAATTTGTTTTTCTGCCGGAGATGGTTAGAAAGATTCTCCTGTTGATGCTGATCAAGAATATATATGACTTATAGGGTCGGAAATGATTTCATTACTGTTTTGTGAGCTTCTGAATGAAATAATAATATCCTCTTACGGAAAGAATAATTTATTCCCTGTAAAAATACTTGGTGATAGAAATTTTAAGCTTTTTAAAAATTTAAATAGATTCTTATTCCCTTGAAAGGTTTTATTTTTACATTTATTTGCAGTTATAAGTCATGGGGATAAGTGTGAAATGAAAGGAAACCTTTTAGTTCTGTCCAAAAAAAAAAGATCCCAATTTGTGCCAAACTTTTCTCTCTCAACTCACAACTTGAGCCTGCCTGCCTGCCAGTTTCCTCACTTCCTTTCAGCCAGTTTGCTGCCAGTCTTTTGAAATTTGAATTTTTTCCTGCCCATGTCCTTGGTCGAGAGAGAGAGAGAGAGAGAGAGAGAGAGGAGAGTGCATCTAAGTGTCGAAGCTGTTTGGAGAGGAGGAGGAGCGTTCTTTTTCCGTTTCCCTTAGTCTAGTCCTGACCGTGATATGTTGGCCATTTTTTATTGCATTCGACTGGCAGCCGAGTTGACCATGCATGCATATGCCAAAACATTCGTGGGGCATTATTATTTATGGCCAGCAGGGCGTGAAGTTTTTCATTTTCCCCAGTTGCCTCAATTTTTTATTTGCTTTGCCATTCCAGCCTCGATGGCCTGGTATTTAAATTTTTCCCTTGGATTCTAATGCTCACGTTCCTCTTGTATTGATTTTCATGCTCCGTGGGTTTGCTCCGCTGTCGATAATTAAAAATTCATTTGGCCTGCTCGGTTGCTCTGACTGGCCCCTCGAGGTATGCAACACAAAAATGCATATAATTAAAATACATTCACAGGAAGTGAAGGAAACAAAAAAAGGGAGAGAGAGGCAATAAAGACCTCACACACACACACACACACACACTGACATTGTCCAACAATGCCGTACAAGCTTAATGTCCTTTTGGAGCACGGAACAGTGCTGTTTGGCATAAATAATATATTTTAAAATAATAAAATAATAAAGAGGAAATAAAAAGTAGTACAACATCCTTTTGAAAAAAAAGTATCATAAAGCCTTATTACTTGTTAAAAATATATATGGAAATATAAACCTCGGAAAGGGACACATAGCCAGCACTGTCCTAAAGAGCGGGGTAAAATTTGTGGTATGTCCTTGCCTGCTGCTGCAGCTCGTTGCTCGTTGCTCGTAACTCGTAACTGGGAGCCCGGAGCTCCCGGTGCCTTTATGTCGATGAAATCCTCTCAGTTGCTTAATCTGCTACCAGTCTGCTTCCGCTTTGGGTTTCATTAAGGCCCACGGGGGCCAAAACCACATTATCCTTGGCGCCCATCCCGCAACCATAGCCTCGAATGCCCCTGCACTTTTGCCAGGGGGAATTAAGTAACCCACAGACCCAGCCCAGGACGCAGACCCAGACCCAGACCACTCCGGAGGACGAAGCCCTGGCCCCGTCGCTTCGTCGAATTAGCATAACCAAACGTTGTAATGAGTCCTGTTTACTTGCCCATTTCCGGTGCGGTGCCAAGGGCAGGACATCAACCGAAGCCGGATGGAGCGGACAAACAATCCTCACTCACTCTTAGTTGTACACAGGAGAAAAATTACTTTTCAAGGGATTTTTTTGAAATATAAAAGGTATAGAAAGTTAAGGAGGTTTTTAAAGATATATAAAATAATGAAAATATGACGAGGAGGAAATATTTAAGTTCCCTAACAGAAATATATATTAATAATTATAGAAATACCATTTTCTTTTTGAAAATTCCTTATTTCTCCCAGTGCACACTCCCTCACACCCACACACTCTTATTCGCAGCCACACATTAAGGTAAAACCCCGGCGGCTTTAGTCCTTAGTGCCTAGTGTGTGCCTTGGGCCCCGAAATCGCAGTCCCTAAGCTCTGAACAAAAACTCACTGCGGTGCGCCTTGTCCGTGGGATCTCGACGCAGAATGATGCGCCGCTTAGATGCACAAATCGGTCCGGAATCCACATCGTGTATTACAATCCGAATGGCCTCGCCATCCATGGAGGTCTGTCGTCGCGGCGCCTCCAAATCCTCGAGATTGGGACCGGTAAAAGACGCCATTGGAGGCGGTATTGATGAGGGTGGCACAGCCGGCAAAGCACCGCGATTCTGCAGCATGGCAATATCGGGTCTGGGAATAAGAATAGAAAAGGGATGAGCATAAACATATATCTTAGGAATTAATATAAATTAGTATTGATTCTAACTTACAGTTGCGAACCACGTCGCCGCATTCGTCGGTCATCGTCAACGGTGAGCACGGGACTGCCCTTGTCCGGTGATCCCGGCGAGTCATCATTCTGGATATCCTCCGAGGCATGTGGCACCCGGAAGGAGGGTCTTCTCGAGCCGGGCAGCTGGATGGGTGGCATAATGCCACCCTCGCCCGGTGATCTCTGCAGCTGAGTGGCAGGAGCGGCACCGGCCTGCACTAGTCCGGGTGCAAACACATCGTAGGCGGACTTTCTGTGGTTGTTAAATAGGAATCATGTAGATCCAAGTTTATGAAGGAGACTTCAAGTCTTACCTGCGCGGCATGGCTGGTATACCGAGTCCAGAACCATCTGCTGCCATGCCTAGCGCCGGACCGCCACCGCCCATGCTGCCGCCCACGGGTCCAGCCTTCATATCATCATCGTAGCTATGCTGCCTTGCCACCCGGGAACCCCTTCGGGACTGCATACGCGACAGGGGCGCTCCAAAGGGTGGCTCCTGTCCATCGCCACGCGGTGGACTATTGGAGCGACTGGGCGCCATGCTGCGTCCGCCTTTGAGTTGCTGCAACGGGAAGGAGTTATTATTGCCAGAAAATTCCCAGAAATGTACACAACTCACCCTTTCCAGCTCCTTTAAGGATGCGGGCGAAACGTCCGAGTGCCGTCGCAGCTCGGGACTCCGTGGCGGGGCTAGGGCGGCACCATTGCTGGGAGCCAGGGTTTGCGTGGAGCTGCCCAGCTTGGCGTCCGAGTGACGCCGCTGCAAGGCCTCCAGCACCGGGACGTCCAGCATGGAGTCCGTCGAGTCCTGCGGAATGCAGACCCGCGAGGCCATTTTCCGACGGCAAACACTGCAACGCCACATGGTCTAGGGGGCAATGGGAAAAGCGGAAAATCAATTTTCATTGCTGTGGCAACGCAGCAGCGTTAATTAAAAGCACCAGCTAAGCGCCGGCATCTATTTGCGGCCGCACACTGTGCGCTTATATATATTAGTTGCCCCCACCAAAGAAAACCCATTATGTTGGCCAGCGAAAATAAATATTAATTACTTTTGGAAACAAAACTTTTCGCCCTCCGCCATTGGAGAGCACGTTTGCAGAAAAATTCTATTTCGAGGAAGGAGAAAATCCATGGAACAGGTGCGCCTGCATTATCCCCCACCCCCATGTCTCGAGTCCTTCGCTGCATTATTCCTTTTCCCCCATTTTCCTTTTTCCGCGGCACACGCCCGCACAGTGCTCGTTACATTTCCACCTGACTGCTGATTCATTTTGCCCAGCGGCTTCAATCGTCATGTGTGTCACCATCGTCCTTTCCGTCCTCCTATTTCAACCTTTTCCGTACCCGGTTTTCCCACATTTCCAATGGCTGTGCCGTTGGCGGAAGCTGCCGCCATTGTAATTAAGTCGAGGCACGGTGAAAAAAAACCAGGTGAAGTGGTCATTCAGGGATGTAGTTTTACTTTTCTTCCTTGGTAAAATGAGGGGTAATTTGTATTTTTCACAGGTTCAATGGGTAAAGTAAAGATGTTTTTTGGAAGGATATTAGCACAACTTTGACTAAGCAAAAAAGTACCAATAAGTACATACTTATTATATAGTTTCAGTTATGATATTCCTCATGCTTAATATTCTATTAAAATTAGTTTAAAAATAAAAAAACAGTTCCATTATTTATGAGGGAGTCTAAAATATTACTTGTTTTTCTGTCTGCAACTATTCACATGACTTGCACTGTATGACACAGCTGCAACTAGAGCCCGGCTCTGGTTTATTGCCTCTGAGCTCCCCAGTTGCGTGCTCTGTAATTACACGGTGCTGCGGCACTGCGGCTGCCAGTTCATGATCCCATCGAGAAATCGACTGAAAAGTTATTTCCAAGCTGCCACGGCCACGTCAGCATCATTTCAGGGAAAGCAAGGAAAATCTCGCTGTGTGTCATGAAAATTTAAGATTTATTTTGTGTTCATCGGCTATGCAAAGGCGAATTGATTTTGATGGTTGAGCATGGAAAGTGAGAGCTTATGTTTAATCTGGAAGTGGTTTTTATAGAGCAACAAAGTCGGGGAATCATATTCAAGGATCAGCCATGGAGAAATTGAGAGAAATCTATAGACATCTGCCATTCTTCATTTGGAAGAAGATACTTTAATATTTAGTAGGCCTAAAATCAAGGCCTTTATTTGGGGAACATGTTACTTATTTAATATAATTATCTTTGTTATTATTTGATGAGCAAATATATTGCAACTATTTCATTTCAAAGGAATTATTCACTAACAAACAAATCTACTTCCTCAAATATCAGCATAAATTTCCTAGTATAAACTAAACCTCAAATTAAATGTACTTTTAGCACATAGAAATGTCACTCGAACTTATTGTTTAAACTGCAGGTATCCTTTTCCAGGGAATAAAATCAAATTCCTATACTCCATCCTAACCATCCACACCCATAACTATAGCACAAGGACACCGAAAATGCCTGGTTAGTGCTCAGTGTGGCATGCTCTAAATGATTATTTCAGCAGCGAAGCCTCCGAGTGTCCAGTTAAGAGACACCGCACACTACCCGAGACCCATAATTACGCAGGAGGAGGGATGGTGTGGTGTGGTGTGGTGTGGTGTGGTATGGGAATATAACAGGTTGTGGGTGGAACTTCACTCAGACTGACTGTGTGTGTGAGCCTGTGCGTTGTAGTCAACGCCCATGAACATCAATTTCAATTAGCCAAAGTGGCCAGGTTGACAGACAAACGTTAAATTTTATGTTCAGGGCGTTGGCGTTGGCGTTGGCATTGGGCTTCTTGACAAATTACCACAAGTTCGGGAGCCAAGACAATGTTGCATGGTCATGGTATGTGGGTTGGTTATCAATGATCATTATGCGGCTGGCAGTGATGATAGGCGACAAGTGCAACAGATCCCCCTCCCCCCAGACGCTAAATGCGGAGATGTGCCATTTAATCTCGTTAATTTGGCCTTTATCTCGTTAATGGTCCGCGATAAATGGAGTCAGCATTGTCACCATTGTGCCCCCCATTGTGGGAAACCCCTTTTTCTAATCCAATTTGTGTGCACTGACCCATGGTGTTCGCTTATAGTTTGCACACCCACGCAATTAAGGTCACTGGAAAAATTCTCTAAATCAGGATTAAAGTCTGCTTTTGGTTTTTTGAATTTTTCAGTAAGATTTACATGCATATATTGAATTTAAACTTCAATTAAAGCTGTTTCTTTTTCTAAATTACTCTGATTTTACCTCCCTTTTTGCTCAGTGCTCCACGCCCCTCTATATTTTCTTATTAATTAAGTGCCGCTGCATTTCTGTGTTTATTTTTGCACCGCCCACAAGCCACGCGACCCTGGGACATTGCCTAGTGGCCCGGAAGGTGCATTTTGCGAGGGTCCAGCCAGGGTCCTGCCAGAATCCCAGCCAACTTACCGCATCCTCGTGCTCGTCCAGTTTGCTGTAGCTGGCACAGTCCTCGCACACTCGCTGCTGGCACTCGAAGCACGTCTTGTGGTAGTCGTCCGGCTTGAAGGACTTCAGGCACACCCGGCAGGCGCCGGCCCTTCGTCCTGGCTCCTGTTTGGCCGCCGCTCCAGCTCCTCCTCCAGTGCTGCTGCTGCTGTTGTTATTATTGTTGTTCAGATTGCCGCCGGAGGAGTCCTGCTGCTGCTGCTGCTGCTGTTGTCCTTGCTGCTGATAGCTGGGCGAGCCATAACTGCCGCTGGTGTCCGCATCCGTCGGAACCAGCGAGGGGCGTGGCGACATTTTATTAACTTTGAAAGGAGACAGCAGAAAAAAGAAGAGTGAGGCATGTAATCAATTACGAGGCAACCAATGGGGGGCAGCAGCCCTTTAAATAGGACTTGTTGATTTTCCGCTGATTGCACGGACTGACCCCAAATGCAACAAAAGGGTGCAGTCTAACCATTAGCATTTAATTTGTATGTTGTGCAAAGGAAATGGGAGCACCAGTGGTATTAAAGACTTAAATAGGTTACAGATTAAAGGTACACTTCTTAACATTCAAAATGAATATCTAAAATTTGTTAATTACTATATTCCCCAGTAATTATATTTGTATTGCGAATGTTTATTAACATTAACATAAAAGCCAAACAGAAAAGCGGAAAAGCATGTAAGCAACTAAGAGGAAAACAAAGGGGCGAAAATAACCCTCCCTCGCAATTAAAACTTGTTGATTTTCCGCTGATTGCACAAACTGACCCCAATGCATTGTGCCTTGAAGGCTCATTCCATTCCATCCTTAATTTGTTGTCAGCACACATAATTTGTTTGGTTTGCTAATTGCCAAAACGACAGGCGGCAAATGCAATAAATGAAATAATTATCTGGTGAAACGAATGCTTATGACAGCCTTTCGAAAATCGTTAAGGAAAAAGGTCAAGGAAGCAGACAAAATGGTATTAAAATACAGTATGATTCTTTTTCCACGATTTAAATTTACTTGATAAACCATTCAACAATTTTCAACTATATGCTTGGTTGCTTACAAAAACCCCAAAATTTAATATTCTAAAATGTAAAATTTTGGTTGCACTTCCAGCCAAGTTATGAAATGTTCGCTTCGTGTGTGAATGGAAGCACTCTCTGAAATTGCATATATATTCACTTGTGCAACGTTTGATTTTTCCTTCTAAGCGGGCGCGCTTTCCCTGGCAGCAGGAAAAAAACCTGACAAACTGAAGCCTGCCTTCCATACACATTTATATGATTATATGCTTAGTCGTATACGTGGCATGTGTGTGTGATATTTCACCCTTGAGAAAATGGTGAAAAGTTTTATGCGGCACCGGAAAAAGTCGCGGTGCATTAGTCACAGTCAGGAGACAAGGACAAAGGCGGACTTGCATTGCTCATACGCACAGTTGCACCTTGTGCTTTCGCCTTTTGGCAACTCACGCTTGACATTTGCTGCCGTAAAAGTGGCAAAAGCAAATGTGAAACAATGCAAGCGGCCAAGTGCGGAGAAAATTCTTTTAAAACTATAGCGATTCCGAGCCCTGCTCAGGGACCCACAAAAACTGCACAACGTTTAAAGTATTTCCTAGGGTTTTTCCTCTTCCCAATTATGTGTCACCTCGTAGAAGGGCAAAAGAGCACTTGGTTTAACCGCAGAATTTCGTTGAGATTTACCAACTGCCCTGCAGGGAGTACTTCAGCCAGGTGACTGCAGCTGCAGGAGGTACCCTTGCGAGACTGAGACTATCTTGAAATTAAGGACGACAAGTGGCACAGCACAAGTATTTGACAAAAAATTATGTGTGCTGTGTGTGTGTCTCCTGTTTTTACGAGCCGGCTAAATAAACATCATGAAATAAGATTTCATTCCGTTCTAATAAATCGGATGGCTTCGCAATAAAATCAACAAGCCACAGCTTCGCTTAGCTGGTGGCCAACTAAAATGCGATAAAAATAACACAAGAGTCAACACAACATTTTCATGTTTCCCTCCTGCTGCTGCTCCTGCTCCCTGTGCTCCTCCTTTGACTGCCACTAAATATATATATATACATATATATATAGTCTGAGCTGAAACAGAAGCTGCTGCCAATTTTATTGACTTTGGTTTTGGCTGCGAGCAGCATTTATGGTGCCCATAACAATGACACTGTGAATGTCGATGACTCCATAATGGCAATGCAGTGGATCAACTGAAACGAACCCCTGACTTTCTGACCCCTTGCCTAACACTGGTCTGCAAGTTAAAAGTTTACAGGAGATGCGAGGAATATCTCTATACTGTGTTTGAATTCAATCACAATTTTCGCATTCTTTGAATCAATATTTATTCTTATTTAATATGTCAAATTTTTGGAATATTCAAATTTTAAAAATCTCATAACTAAGCCAAAAAAGCATTAAATTCAATTCGGAAAGCTGATCTGTGCTAGTTTTTATTATAATGATAAATATCCATGTCTCAAATTAGCTTAGAATATGTTGATAAATATAAAATGTATTATATTTGATCCATAAATCGTCCGATTGTTCCTATGTCGGCTATATATATGTATATATATAGTCCACCGATTTGCCATGCTTCGACTTATATACTAGTTAAATAATATAGAAGAATTACTCCATAGTTTCATTCAAATAGCTTTAATTTGTTCCAAAACAAATCTCGCACATCTGTGCATATGATTCCCAACTAGTTCTAACTTCCCCGGAACGAAGTGACTGCTGCCAGCCAAGACTCGGATACGTGTTGTGTTACAAAAGTTGCAAGTCATTGTTTATTAGTGTTCAAAGTTAGTAACTGGTCATACATACATAAACATACTTACTGGTCATAGATACTTACTGATCATAGTTACTTACTGGTCATAGATACTCACTATGACCTAATGCTCATTGATACTTACTGATCAGAGTTAAATTAAATATCAGCTCGGAGTTTGTCTCTGTCTCTCTGCCTCCCCCCTCTCTCGCTATGTTAATTGCTCTATGAATCTCTAGAGGCAACTCCTTCTCTCCCGCGCTCCCACACTCACTTTCTCTGCTCCACTCTCTCCTCGGGAACTATAAATAGAGGCGCTGAGGTCGCGCGCGCCTCAGTCTGTCCTAGGGGTACCTAGTGTTAACATCGATAGTGATAGTGCAAGTGATCATCCCTCAACCTCAAAAACATGACGTGGCCAATGCAATGCATCTGGATGACCAGCAAGAAGCTCAATTGGATGAAGTCACCCAATCTTGGTCACTACTGATCATAGTAACTTATTGTTGAAAGATACTTACTGATCATAGTTACTTATTGGTCATAGCTACTTACTAATCATACTTATCTATTGGTCATAGCTACTTACTAATCATACTTACTTACTGGTCATAGATACTTACTGTTAAAAGTTACTTAGTGTTCAGAGTTACTTTCTGCTCTTAATTAATTACTTATCATAGTTACCTACTAATCAATGTTACTTATTGTTGAAAGATACTTACTGATCCCCTAAATTTTTCAAATGTAGGAACTCAATAATATTTCGACTTTGTAGTGTCCATTCCCATTTATTTTTTATACGCAAAAAAGGTATTCTCACTTCAGTCAGAAGCTTAAAACACATCGAAGGAGTCAATTCCGACCCTATAAATCAAATATATTATTTATCAGCACGAAAAACTACGTCGATCTAGATTACTCCGGACGAAAAATAAAATTTTCAAAATTTGGAGAAAATTTGAGAAAAAGATAAGGGGTTATCATCATTCAAATTTGCTGCCTTAGGAACGATGGGGCAAATAAAGGTTATTTAAATTATTATAGGTATTAAAAAATTGGGCATTCTTAATTTAAAGCCACAATATTAAGTGTTATTCATAAAAGTTGTACTTTGATTTAAACTCGAATGCAAATGCAAATCAATATAGTTTCGTCTTTTGATGCTGATCAAGAATATGATTTATTGGATCGGAAATTACTCATTCTTTTACTTTAGTCCCCTTTAAGATTTTAAAAATTTGTTTCTTGGACTATTTTTAAATAAAAATAATGTTTGCAGGCAGCGATCGGAAAATAAATAGGAAATAAGTTCAATTTGAATAAAGTTTCCAGTCAAAGCTGAGCTTTGGCAGCTTTATTGCCGTATTGCCTCTCTCGCCAAGAAGCTTAAACTTCGCCGCTCTCCATTATCGCCGAGCGACCTCTCCCGGTGGCCGTTGAAAATCAGTTCCTCCGGCGTCGTCGGGCGAGACGGGAGGAAAAAATTAAAACGAAAAAGGTCTCCGTGCAGGAGATCACCGCGGCGGTCAACGGCACGAGAAAACAGAAAACACACACAGAAAGTGAAGTGAAGTGAAATGTTAAATGCTGAACTAGTGGCAAGGCTTGGTACAGCCCCGAGACGTAAGGAGGCTTCTAATGTGTTCTTTTCCTTATTCATAAACGATATAAGGCCAAAATAGTTGTTTTTTGCTACCTTTTTTGTTGTTTTTTTTTTCTGTGGAAGTGCAACAAATATAAAGCCTTAGTAAAACAGTATTCTGTGTGTTTTTTGACTTTCTTGTGCCCGCTAATTCGCCGTTTATATCTGCAGCATCAATTCATGTAAACGAGTGAGTGAAAAAATTCTTTTCTTTTCTCCTCTTTCCAATTGTCTTCGTGCGCAGATTTTATTTTTGCTTGGCTTTGCAAGTGCCGTTATTAGCTTGGCTTGTACTCGCTTTTAAAAGTGGAGCCTAAGAGCGAGAGAGGCACTCAGAGAGTACGATCCACTCTTGTGGATGCCAATTTTGACATTTGGAAAGCTCACTTTGTTTACCTTTTTTATACCCTTGCAGAGTCTAAAGATCCACTTTTGTGCATGCCAATTTTGACATTTGGAAAGCTCACTTTGTTTACCTTTTTTATACCCTTGCAGAGTATTATAATTTTAGTCTAAAGCATGCAACTCAGTGAAGGAATTATTTCAGACCCCATAAATTATATATATCCTTGATCAGCGTCAACTGCCGAGTTGATTTTGCCATGTCTGAACCAAAAAAAATTGTACTAATTTTTTAAAAATATTATAAAATTTTATATAAAATGTAATAAAGATTTTTTTTTAAATTTTAAATTGAGTATGCAGATTTGTTAACATAATAAAAACGAACATAGAAAAGTTTTCCGATAGCAAATAAATGCATTTTTGGCTTAGTTATAATCGCTGCAAGGGTATAGAAATTTGCAGGTTTACTAAGTTGGCTTTCTTTCTTGTTTTGGCATGTTGATATTTTTTAAATAAAATAAGCAAAACTTAATGAAGCTCAACTACTATTATTATATACTACCCCCCTTTTTTTAATGTATTATTATTATTATTGTTTTTCCTTTTCAGGTTATTTAAATTTAACATATAAATATTTAATACAATTTTTAATAATCTAATTTAATTTTAAATTTTTATACATGTTTCATATACCTCCTATATTTTTCTATTTCCTTTTTTTTTCAAAATGAATCGTTTCTTAGTGATCGTATTGCAATCAGCGTGGGTTTCTTTTTTACATACACAAATTTTATTTTATTTTAAATATTTCTCTACTACTTCCGAAAAACCTATCTTGTGTTGACCTGTGTAATTGAATCAACGATGCAAACGAGCGTGCCGGGCAAATATTGCGTATACGCGCCGTTAGCCATAGCGAATATTACGTATACGCGCAGTTAGCCCAGGCAAATGCTCATTGCCATTGACTTACGTGCACACACGTTGCTCTCTGGTCTCTGAACGCTGCTACTGCTAGCATTCGGCTTTAGCACAAAGTTTGCACAAAGTTTAGCGAGCAGCTTTACGGGCACTTGTATGAAAATTCATGCCATAAATTCGCATGCACTTACGGCAAGGATAACCGTAACCGGAGCAGGGGGGATACACTTACCTTTGTCTGTGACGGTTAGCAGCGACGAGGATAGCGTCGCCTTCATCTTGTTCAAGGCACCCGTGTTGGAGGCCCCACCGCCGGAGTCTGTCGCATGTCCCTGCTGGCCCTGGTTCGCCTGCTCATCGGTGGCCACCATCTGCGGGAAAATCAGAATTCCAGAAAGGGGGATAATATTAGTGAGGGTAAAAGAGGTCAGCATGGGAGCAAGTAAATGTGGTATCGAGCTGTGAACTTGATTTGCGGCAGCTGTAAATCTTTATTTCGTGAGCCAGAACATAAAATGTGTACCGAAACGATGAGATTATTGGTCATGTACGACAACTAACTCGGAAGAAGATTTTATCAGCTAATAGTAGGTATTTTAGGAAGTCGGTTTAAGGGTTTTCGGGATGAATATAAGAAATATACCATTTTAAATACTAAAATTTAGTTAAAGCCACCATCAGTCACTGAAAACTGTATTAGAATTGAAATTCCCAGAGACATCATAAAATGCTTGTAATGTTAATATAAGCAGGTAATCTTCACGAATCATTTTCAGCTTCGCTTCAGCTCAGGTGAACTAGATGCGTGTTGCCGTTAAATTCCTGGTGAAAAAGCAGGTTTCACTTTGAGTAAGGAGCAAGGTTAAGGTTATTACCCTGGCTGCCTTGGGATTCTCTGATTTCCGCTCTGTTTTTTTTTCGCCCAGTCATCGCGAGCACGCAGGTGAAAGTAACGCGGTGCGTTTTATTTGATTTTTTTCGGCGGGGACCTGGTGCTGCTGCTGGAGGCGTCTCGAGCGCAACAAATTGCCAAGAAATCGTAAAGTGTGGCAAGTAATTTTTGATTAAACAACGCAGGACCAAAGCCGGAATCCTGCTGATGCCGGAGAGCCTTTCAAAAATTGCCGTCATTCTTTTTAATGCACAGACAGGAGGGTGGCTGGGAAGGGGAAAGATGAGGCTTATATTTATATATATATATATTTTTACTTTGCCAGGCAGAAGAATAACAATTGGAGGCGACTAGCCGACCAGCCGACGAACCCCGAAAAACATAAGTGCTGCTCTGCTCTGTCAGCATTTTATGAAGTGGAAATTTTCTATTTGCCAAAGCGCCAACGAAACCGGAACAAACAGGCGTACAGTTGCCTGTACACTGGGAAAAATAGAAAGGGTATTTCAATGATAAGGTGTGAATATAATAGAGGGGAGAACTAGTAACTTTCTGTATAAATTTTATTCACACTTCTAAATATTTATACCCTGTTGATGTAAGTTTTCCCCACTCGCTGCTATTACTTAATTTACAGAAATATTCGCTAAATATTTAATCTGATTTATGAAAAGCCCTTTTAATTTAGTATGCAAAAGATCCACTAATCTATTATCATATTTTTTTCTATGTAAAGCACACACACACAGGCTTACACAGCTGGCCTTTCGCTCGTACAGCGCAAATTACGCTAAGTGCTTTCGGCTGCACCGTTTTCGGTTGCCTACCTTTAGGGCAGAGACAGGAGCAGGAAGAGAGCCAGGAGCAAGGGCAGGATCAGGACCAGCAGCAGGGGCAAGGCCAAGAGCACGGGCAGGGGGTTTTGTTTTTCGGCTTTTCCTAGGGGTTACAAGGGGTAGTTTTCAGCGAGTACTCGAGGGGTTCGAGCCAGGAACTAAGCGGCATCTAGTGTCAGATTATGGCCGCTTTGTGCTCTCAGCTTGGTCTACATTTTTGATGATGTCATTTGATGTCTCGGGCAACGGTAATATTCATGCTGCGGATTTACGGGCTCCCTTTCTGCCTTTCGTCCTGCCAACGGTTGCGGGCACTGCATGAAATCTTAGTGTAATGTATAGTTGTTTGTTCGGTGGCCATATTTCAGGGACTCCCCCTCTTAGGTGCTTTTAGCTCGACCTTACAGTGGATCAGTGATGACAGAATAAGGGCTCAAGGAAAGGTTAGATCGAACAAGGAGAGAAAACTAATATAATGTATTAAAATAGAAAAGCTATTCTTAGGATATCTTATTAAAAAGGATGAATTTTTATAAAATGTAAACTTTTGGAATGTTATTTCTTAGTTTTGTTCTAGATTTTATATATTTTGCGGGAATCTTCTATCTGTCAATCTTTTAAATATTTTATTTCTAATTTAAAACAAAGAAATAACTTAAAATATTTCTAATTTCGAAGAAGTTAGTAGTTTTCTCTTCTAATATACTTTGAAAAAGGAACCTTGCCAACACTATTACCTCTACACTCTCACGTACTACACACAGCCCTCTTAATTTATGTGCTCAGGTGTCTGACGCCATTTTTCTTGTGCCAGGGTAAACTACTCTGCATTCCTCTGGCTGTGAAGTTTGTTCCCTTTTCCTTACTGTTTTCCTCACAATGTTTTCCTCACCGTTTCTCTGCTCTGTATGCCTCGCCTGCCTGCACAATTATTACCGTGTTAATTTTGTCATTTATTATGATTTTTTCCAGAGCCCAAAGCCGCAAATAGTTTCATGTTTAGTGCCAAAAATTATGTGTTGACATTTAAGAGCCGCTGATGTTTCCCATCACCCGGGAGCATCACATTTTCCCCCATTTTCCTTGTCAGAACAACAACAGCAATATGGCGAGCAATATGTGCGCCCTTTATGGCCGCAAAGTATGCTACATAAAACAGCAGTCAATGCGAAATGAAATGCGGCAAAAGTTGGTCGCGAAATGGAGGGAAAGTTCTCAGCACTTTCCGCTTTGTCTGCTCCGAAACGAACGCGTTTGCATTCCATTGGCAGACTCCATTGAAATGCCGTTGAAATGGAAATGGTGGAAATGGTAGAAATGGAAATCAATAGCAAATACTCCAAAGAAAGTGAAATGGAGGCGGTGAGCAAATACTTTGCCACTTAAAAGTTGCCCTCGAAGTTTATAACGAATGTCTTGAAGGAAACGTGAGGGCACTGTCAGGAAAAGATATGTATATACAATACAATGATGGATGTGATATTATAAAACATTGATTTACCATTTATTCTTGCCCTGAGCGCGTAAATTAATGTCAGTCAGTCCAAGTTGAAAAATTCTTTATTTATAAAAGTAATTGATTTTTCCGAGTGCAGTAAGTAGTTTCTGGTTCGGGCCACGTGCTTGGCTGGAAGTTCTGCTCATCAGTTGCCTGTTGCAAGTTGCCTGTTGCAGCTGTTTATGGCCTGCAGCCATCCAGGCAGGGACAATAAAGTGCAGGGTCATCGAGCACAGAGACAACGGCCAACCGACTGGGACACGTGTGGTCAGGATGGGGTATACATGGGGATGACCTGAAATGGCCAGGAGCTGTCCACAGGCAACCGCAGGCCAAATGGGTAACGAGCCAAGTGTGGCAGAGGAAGCAACTTTACAGCGGCAACACTATTACGAGAATTGCTGCAAATAAAGTGCAGGAGGTCCTGTTTATGCCATGTTCATGGTTGAGTGAAGGCAGGTCTTTTGATGTGCCGTCGCCAAATAACCAGACGGGTATTTGAATGCGAATAGAAAAAGTTTTTGCAAATTGCAAATAGCAAAAGGCGAATATCCCTTGTGCCAACAGACTTGCTAACAGACTTGTCAACGGCTCATCATTGTCCTGAGATGGGTTCCAAGTTGAACTTGGACCGCTTTGATTTCGTGCTTCATTTGGTCTAATCAAACTTTTGCCCAAAAACTCTCTCTCAGGCCGCACAAACACACAAAAATCTGCAGCATTTAGTTGACTGGAATTTGCTTGTCGTCAGCCTTTCCCTCGCTTACTTTTTTTCCCCCTTTAATTTCCAAAAACTTGGTTTTTATTAACTTTGCAAAGAATTTTGTGCCGAACAGGAATTTCAACGGAATTTACACTTTTTCGAGGTCTTTTCCTTGCCTTTCTTTTTGTGTGTTATTTTTGGCTTCACACCAGCTTCAAGCTCTCAGCTCGGCAGCTTCCATTTCATGTATAATTTTATTCTTTTGCTTTTCCCGGCTGCCGAAAACAATTTCCGCATTATAAAAGGGACACCGCCCGAAGGATATATATTGGCAGGCAGGTGCAGGTGCTCGGCAGGATAATTGAACCACTTCGATTGCCAGCGAGGCCAGTCAGCCATTCAGTCCGTTTGCGTTTTTATGTATTTTTTGATATTTTTCGGTCCCATAAACAAAAGGGAAAATCAGTCAAGCGGGCAAAGCATTTAAAGGGCTTTTTAATTAAAAAGTTTTGTTTGCCTACGATCTTGCACCCTTCCGGTTGAGTTTGTATACGATTTTCTTTTTTTTCGTTGGTTTTAACCCTGTGTAAAAGGGGCTTAGGGGGTTATATCCTTAGACTTAAGTAGAAGAAATGTTGTACTTTGTTTTTTAAAGAGTTCCAAAACATTTGTTCAATACTATTTCAAAGCTTAAAGTGGTGGATTAAGGAGAGCAAAACATTATTGCTTAATTAACTAATAATACAAAACCTTTTTTTCAAAATTTTTTAAAATTTGAAAAAAATTAAAGGGGTTACATCGTTAAAATTTTCAAAAATTGATAAAAAAAATTAATTTTTCAAAATGTTAAATTGAGTATACAGATTTATTAACCTGATGAATACTGACATAGTAGTGATTTCCGAATTAAAATTAATGCTTTTTCAGCATAGTTACGAAATATTTAAATTTTACTTTGTAGCACAAATTTTCATATAAATATTTACTAAAATATTGGGTCAAAGAATGGTATTATTATGTTAGTCAGAAGGAGTTTGGCTTCAGCTTCCCTAAGTTAGTTTCCTTTCTTGTAAAAAACTCATTTTGATAGTAAAAAATATATATTTTCAGTATTCAAAAAACACCCTTTCTCTCATCTCTTCTCAAGGCGTAACCCCTTAATGTATGCATTTCATTGAAACACACAAAAAAATAAAAGCAAGCAAAGCTAAATGAAATGAAATGAGAATTCGGTTTTCATTTCAATTCATTTGCTTTTGTTGCATTTCATTTGGGAGTATCCATGGTGTACGCTCCGTATCTGCGCTCATTAAATTTTCAGGGCCAGCCGGGGCCAGTGCGAATAATTAAAAAATCACAAATGGCAAATGAAAATGAAAATGAAATTAAGCATAAATTACGAGCGAGCTGCCGGGGACAAGGCACTGATTTATATATATATATAAATTCATTAATTAAAAATCGAAGTGTCAGGCGCGAGAGCACTTACCTTCTTCATGAATGACATCACATTTGTTGGCAACATTTTGACCGTTGTTATTCCACACTCTCGTTCGCTTTAATGTTGGTTTGTTTTCTTGGTTGAAGTGGTTGGTGTGTTGGTTTTCTCTGGTATTTTCGTACTGATTCGTTTTTATTTTTGTTTGTATTTAAAGTGCAATTAATCACGCATCCGCCGTCGCTCGTAAGCCGATTTTAAGTCATTGCGTTTTCAATTTGACTGTGGCTGCTATTGTTGCTGCTCCTGTGGCTGCAATTATCCTTGCTCCTGGCGGCCAAACCATATTGTTTGGGCCATTTTTCATCGATGGCCATGTAAATAGGCATTGACATTGGGATTGTGCCATTCACATGTTGTCCCAGCTCGCGGATTCCGATTGATTTATGCGATTTATATGTGCTCTGTGTCCTGTGTCCCGTGTCCTGGGTATTGGGGCTCGCTCACTCCTGGCCCTTAATTAACTTTGGCCATAATTCAAAGGCGTTATTATTGCCGCCGGCTGCAGCTGCTCGTCGCGGCGGAAAAGCGTGGAAAAACAGCTACACCGGGAAAGAGGCAGAAAATTATAATTAGTCATTTTTGTGGGTTGAGGTCCAAAAAAAGGGGGAGGTGGGAGGTAAGGTCGCTTTAAGTGCTACGAATAATGGGCCAACCGGCTTACACCGTACTTAGCCGGGTTCCATAAATTTTCCTACGATAAGCATCGGGGATTTTCACACACACACACACACACACACATACATTCACTCACGCTCTCAAATTTTCCCGCACTGAAAAGTGGCGAAAAGTCGAGTCGGGAAAAGTTTATAAGACGGAAATAATGTGTCGCGTGGCATGCAAAAGTGCCTTTTTCCATTGTGACCTGTATAATGGGCAGTCTAAGTAGCTTAGCCAACGAAACCTTCAAGCGAACTCCGAAAACTTGTTTTCAATAAGTCATTTTCAGCGGCACAGTTTGAAGTTAAGGCACAAAGCAAGGGGAAGGTTGATTAAACTGAAAATATGGCAAATATTACAGAGAAAAAAGTCAGATTAATACTTGAATGTAAGTTATTTTAAGGAATATTTCCTAGCTGTTAATTTGAAGGCTAAGATTGTAACTTAAATGTATTTGGATTGACTTTCTTTCGATTATCAAAGAAATCCTCAATCAGATTACTCTTTATAATCCTCATTGTTGTAGTTTTCCTTCCTATAAAGTTGTATAGTTTTCCTCCCTGATAAGCAGCTCTTCTAACCACTTCGATCCCAATTCTTTGGCCAGCTTATCGGGCATTCACTTCAGCTGAGATGCACACATTTTCAATGAGGGGTTTGGGTTTGGGATTGCGATTGAGTTTGGGTTTGGCTTTGGTATTCGTAGTCAAAGCGAGAGAGAGAGTCCTGGGCTTTGCCTGTTGCCTGGAAATGGAATTATTAAATGAAATGACCCACATAGCAATTCAATTGTCGAGCGATTCACTCGATTTGAGCTGCAACTGCATAGAGAGAGGTTTATATGGGGATATTTGTATGGATTGCAGTGGCTGGCATTTACAATTTCCCCTTGCTGTGGCCCGGATTACCAACAACGGAGTACAGACTACGGATTAAAGAGCCAGCGGAGGAATGCCGATCAAGTTTCAAGTTGCAAACTTTGGCCAAGTCATTGGCACAGAATGCAGTTAGGTCGAAGGGGGTTTTCTTTTTGGCCATTAAGTGTTTATTGCAAAAGTTCGGGAATGACCATGGAGTGGGGAAAATTGTATATAAAATATAATAAATAGTTATAATCAATTGGAAATGATTATTAAGAAGAGTAAATAAATGATTGAAAGCAATAAACATTTTAAATTGAAAGTTTTTTTATCATGTATACCGAAATTAAAATTATCATAACTCAGTCAAAAAAGCATAATTTTCAAATCGGAAAGCATTCCTAAGCTAGTTTTTATTAGGCTAATAAATCTGCAAACTCATTTTAAGATTTGGATTTTTCACAATTTTAACGATGTAACCTCTTTCCTTTTTTTTGAAAAAATTGAACAATTTTGAAGAATATATTTTTTTGCCGGAGATGGCTAGTAAGATTCGTCTGTTGATGCTGATCAAGAACATATATGATTTATGGGGTCGGAAATGACTCCTTCACAGCGTTTTAAGCTCGTAATTATAATTTTTATACTTTGCAAAGTTATATATTCTGTCAGTTATAGTTAAAACATTTCTAGTTAACAGAATCGATAAACTAGGAAGAAATCTATGACATTTCTCGTTAACAATTCCCCATATCTCCAATGCACTTACGCCAACCAAAGGGTTGTTGTTTTGGCCATTGTAAAGTTCGCATGGGGAAAAGTTCATAAAAAGTGATCCGAGTTGAGCTTAAGTCCTTCTAAGGGACGGAAGGATAGCCTGTGACTTGAGAATGTGTTTACGGCAAATGAAATTCAAGACTTTTGCCAAATGAGCTTGGCTCTGGCAAGCGAAACTTTGAAATTGTATTTGGGCAAAAATGAAAATTAGTTGCCGTTTGAAACTGTCAAAATGCCAGCAACAGGACATGGCTCAGTGCACTGTGCATGGCGTTCTGCGTTCAGAATTCCGCGCAGCGAAATCAGGACGACGATGATGATTTTTTGGTGGAAGATGTAAGGCAAAGTGGTTACAAGTGTTTGTACGGGGGGCGGAAAATGGGTTTTGGGGGGCGGAAAATGCGACGACAGGCTCGCTCTCGTTGCTTACACAAGCTTAGCGCACAAGGATGTGCTCATAAATTGTAACTTTCCGTTGTTGGTGTTGGTAACAAGCATGAAATCACATGAACACACACTCGGCCGGTCGCAGAGGCTGATGCTGCAGGATTCAGCTGGCAAAGTTCCAGCCTTTTCCCCAACTTCGGGGCGGCTGTAGTTGGCACACAGTTAATTAGCGCGAAATTGGGAGAATGAGCTCGGCAGATTCTGAATCGGCGGGGGATATGGGCAAGGACAGTGTACCGCCACGGGCAGGCACTCTGTGCATGCTAATGAAACTGATCAGATTGCCATTAGTAGCGTTAAAGGTCAGAATGTGTGGAAATAGTGCATGCATTAAATAAGGTCTAAACAAGATTTATCACCCACACGCTTAGATCCAGTCCCAGGGACCAAGGACATCGCAATTGTCACGCACAGGCAAACAAAGCTCGACCGAAAACAAAAAAAAACTTGGAGCCAAATCGAAATTGAAATGTTCGAAAATAACAGAGGCAAACCCATCTAGTGCACTGGGAAAAATGTTTATCTTTTGGGTATTCTATAGATTTATTTAAATGAAATTTATTAGTAATTAAAGGGGAAAGAGTTTCAGAAGATGTCAAAGTAGCTTGAAATAAATTATCCTTGATGAGAAGTCCTTTCAACTTCAAAGAAACCCCTTAGAAATTATTTTCAAACTAGCTGAAATACTTTTCTTTACTACATTTTCGGTCAAAAGTTTTCCACTACATTTTCCCTTTCCATAAAATCACTATTTTCTGCATCTGTAGGCTGCGGCAAACGTTCAGTGTCCAGCGATTTATTGCGACTCATGTCACACAGGGTGTCAAAGTGAATTGTTATGCCGGAACGTGTACGGGACACAAATTAAGTGCAGGCCAGTCCGAAAATAAATGGAGGAAAAAAGTGCTGCAAAAAGCAATTCCTCAGCCAAATGAAGCGCAACAGCTTCTGAACCGAAAAGAAAATAATACAACAACAACAACTCTAGCAAAAAATATTGTGGAAAAAAAGCCAGGAGCAGCATCAGGTCCAATTGCAGTTGAGAAATCGCAGCACAGTTCATAAATAAAACCGGACAGCAGGGGGCATATCCGCCAGCCGCATCCCCTTCCGTATCCTTGCTGGGCAACCGACCTCATGAATGCCATGAATGAAGCGTTGTCAACAAAGCAAAGCAATGGGGGATTTCCCCAGCGAGTCTGCAGCTTACAGGATCCAACATCGACCCTCCGCTCCTCCTTCCTCCTTTATCCTTGTTGCTCGGCTTGTTAACACTGGCCTTACTGGGTGCATTTATTATGGTCGTCAAGGATAAGGCGAGGGCCCAGTTACGCACTCTATCTCTTCAGGTGAATGTGTGTGTCACTTGAATCTATGAGACTTGCTGCTTTATCGATCACAGGAAAATTAATTTGCCTAAGCGTACAATGGCAACGTTTTTGTGAACAAAGTTTAGAGTGTAGGCAAACTTTGAGTCAGATGCAGAAAGTTCCACTGTGGAAACTGAAGCTACAAGGACACAGAATCTACCCCATAAAATGTTAATTTTTTAAATAAATAAGTTCTTAAGTCAATTTAGGAATGTATACTGAAGAAAACAAGTACTGAAACTTTGTTTCTACTAACAAGAACAAGGCATAGTTTCATAGTTACGTAGTTTGCTATAGTTTTTTCCCTCAGTGCTGCTCGTGACAGAGAACATCGGCTGGCCAAACAGGATTTTTAATGAACCTGCGACCGCCTGTTTCCTGCCTGTTTGTGTTTACTCTTGGCCATCCTACGGCCAACTGCCAAGTGGCAAACGGACGCGATGTCAACGCCTGGTTGTCGCTGGCTAATTGACGGCGATAGGCTTACGTGGCGGCTACGCGATTTCACTGACTTTTGGTCTCTGTCAGAGTTCAGCCTCCTTTAGGCTATATATCCTTTATCCTTGGTAAGGTTTAATTGCTGGAAATAAACAGAAGAAAGTGAGACCGGAGATGCTCCGGATTGTCGGCATGTTGTGGGCTGACCGAACAGATTGCTCTGGCTCTGCCTTTGACTCTGATTCCGATTCCGATTCCGATTCCTATTCCGGGCTGAGCTGAGCGCTGAGTCTCGGTATCAGGAGCAGATGGCACTCCCATTGACATGGCCATTTCCATCTACCAACCAACTTTCCCATGCCAAACACGTACGCAGCGGAATGAAATAAAACTACGCCCATCGAAACACCGAAACGTTGAGCTTTTTGCCGGATAGAACTCTGTCTGCTCTACAAAACAAAGGCTGGCAATCGTTTAAACTGCTGCCAAACTCAATTATTCAAATGGGAGAAGGCGTATCACTGGAGGAAGTGGTTGGAGGGGATATACACACACGCATGCTGTGCCTCAAGTGGCACTCGCTTTGCGGTCGCTGCAATTTGACATTTAATCAAAGCGAAAGCCTAACCGACAGCCACTCGAGTAACATGCCTCGATATCCATTCGAGAGGGCCCGTTTTTGGGGTGCTATTGAAACCGAAACGGAAAGGAGAACTCCTGAAACTCCGGGAGATACAAACCGCCCAACGCGTTGTTCCATCTAACCAATGTGGCCTGTATCCAGACTTTCATCTTAATTGAAATCGAATCAAAGTGTTTTCACTTCACCAAATGAAATTGTCTGCTGCACGCATTGTTCTCTGCTCAACTCAGCTCTAAATCTATACTTTCTTGTTTGGTTTTGCCAATCTGTTTAGGCCAACTGTTGCCACCAACTAATGACCTGGCATTGTTCGTTCCTTGATTTTACACTCAATTTGGCTGGCATTGTGGCTTATTGTTTCATAAATTATTTATTAGAAAATTTTATTTGCCCTTCCGTGCTCTCTCTCTCTCTCTCTTATCGAAAGCCCTTCGGGAATTACTTGGTCTGTCCTGGTCTTTGGCTTTTGGGTTTTGTTGGCTGCTGACAAGGATATGAGGTTATTTGATTACCAACTCCAATTGCAGTTCACAATATATATAACCGGGAATTGCGTGCCATGACTGACGAAGGCGATTTTGGGCCACCAGATTATGGTAGCAAATATGGTTGCCTTCAATTCTCCTTGTTCTAGATTGAACAAAGCTTTCAACAGGGCAAGGGGAGGAAGTGTGGTAGGTGGGGCACCCAAAATCCATCGTCCAAATGCACTATACACAATCACACACATCAAACGGCAGGCGAGTGCTTAGCAAATATTACGCATACGCTCTGTTTACTATTAGCCGGAATTACGCATACGCCCTGTGCGCACATTAGACACTAAAGCACGGCGAGAAAATTGTACTGAAATGTATTTATAAGGTTTCTAGGAAATCTAATGAGTATTTAATTTCTAAGAAAGGGTTTAATATGAATACTATCTGGAAATAGACATAATTATTCATAGAATATATGGAGATTTAATACATTTTCATTACTAGTTTACCTAAAAATTGATATCCTACTTCACCACAACCATAAACACCTTGAATGTATAGCATTTTGTAAGTTTTTACCGCCGCAGCCATGTCAAAGTATACACAATTTTTCTTGGCACGCAATATGATAAGTGGTTTTAATAAAAACCAACTTAAAAACAGTAATTTAAAGAACTGTAAATGTGGGTTTTCCCTCCCTGTAGACACACCAGAAGAAGCGAAGCCAAAATCAACTTGATATGGGGATATGGATACGCTGCTCAGCTGGGCGAGCGCTCATTAACGCTTTGTGTAAGCTTTGTGCAGCTCGGAGAGCGCTTTCCCATTTTCCCCTCGATTTTCTTTGCATGACAACACGCAACGCACGCCCCCTCTTTTAGCTGGAACGAAGGATATGGTTAAGGGCGGGGACCGGCGCCTCCTTTTTGCGCATTTATGATGTCGCGACGTGGCAACTCATTAGAAATGCGTGAAATTCAACGCAGAAGGGGAAGAATCTCTTAGGGGAAGGATAACTTTATAGAGATGGGTACGGGTATTTCAGTACATAATTGTCGCCAATTCCGTGGGCGGTAGCTCAGCTTTCTCGTAACAAAAAAGAGAAAGCACCAGGAAACGCTACTTAACTCCCTTATTAGGGCATCATTTTTATGCATCCTTTGATTCACCGCACTCCCTGAGACAGTGCAAAAAAACTTTATATTAATTACGCACGGCTGGCATAGAAAATTAAATCAAACGGCGCAACAAAGAACACAAAAACCAGAGTCTGGTAATAACACAGAAAACCCCAACCCAAAACCCCACCGAAAACCAGCAAAAAAAGGCTTAATGGCCGTTAAGCGATGGCACGACCGTAAAGATTTCAAGAGACTGGGCCAAAGTGACCGCAATTAATTAACCACAAGGCGGCAAATGCCGCTGGCAATAAAAAATAATTATAATTATTTTCAGCAAGTGCTCGGGAGATGAGGCTCGAAACTGTAAAGACAACAGTACTCATTGTTTAAGTAAAATATCTACAAGTCTAGGAATAACCAAGGAAAATGCCATTTAAATATATGAATGATATATTTTCCTCTTTAGACTTTGACTTAGTTTCCCTATAAATCATCTTAAAAGCATTTAATTTTTAGCCTCTGCCTCTTAAAATTGTTATACATACTAATAGGATTTAGAAAACTTGTCAGGAATTATTTATTTCATATAATTTTCATAAGTTAGGAACAAGATCCAATATCTACTGTTTAGTGCTCTTTCAGATTCAAGGAAATTCGAGGATTCGGAATATAATATAAAATGCTTGGCATTTATTGCGTAATTAAATGCCGCCGAAACGATGAGCTGGGGCAAAGGTTAAGCTGACTGGCTGTCAAGGCTCGGCCTTCGTACTCAAACATATTGCCGGTTAATTATTCAGCATTAGGCATGTCATGGCAGGGTAAAGCATATGCATGATAGATGTACCAATGCCAATGCCAATGTCAATGTCAGCATCATGGCCCAAACTGTCGGCCAACTCAACTCAACTCAAACTAAACTAAACATGCCCGTGGTAAAAGCAGCTCAACGGCCTCATGAACTTTTGCAGCGCATCTAATGCGAATTCAATGTCGTCCTGGCCGTCGTCCTTCCGAAGCCCCTTACCCCTCCCCCCCATTTCGGGTCGTGTCTTCAACTCGTCCTTGGAAGGTCGACCTCGTGGCTCGTCAGCAACGCTTTTTGAAGCAAAGTCAATTAAAAATATGAGCGCAAACTAAATAAATTGTCATAAATATGCAGAAGAGCAGAGAAAATACATTTTTGCCAAGGATGCGACAAAACTGGGTAGGGCAAAGTATATCGATACTTTTTTGCAAATTTGCAATACCTTTATCGGATATTATTACCTTTTTTATGCAGTTTAAAGTCTCTTAATACAGAAGGTTGTTTCTGGTTTCTTATTATTATGCGTTTCGATACATAATTATTTTTGATATCACATTGAAATGCGATATATTTTTCGCTCTTTCTACACATCACTGGTAGGCAACCTGGATTTTGTTTGAACCGTCTCAATTACTTGTTGTGTACCCTGTTTCAGCATTATGCATAATCATGTCGCCGGAGAGCCCGCCATCTCCATTTACCCATCGATATTCTATGACTTGGCGCGTGTGTCTCACAGGGCGTATACTCGATGTCTCTGCTGTCATTATTGTTATTGCTCGTACTGTAGCTGCTGCTGTTGTTGTGCTTACTTATCGCTCACACACAACACACACACAATACACAACATATGTCTGGCCTGTCGCTGATGTCTGTCTGCGGTTGTGTTCTCTTCTGTATAAAACGAGGTTTTCCCCGGCGCCTTGAGCTGTCTCCGTTCAGTCAGGAGGACATTCCTTGCATCTCTCACCGCAGGCCAGGCAAATGCTGAGCCGTGTAAATTGCATTGCCAAGTGCTCGGGGGGATACATGGAGGAGAAAATGCCAGCAAAGTGAGTGTATTCTCATTCTTAAGGAGCAACGCTAGCCTCAGAGACATACTATCAGGATATTTGGCATAGTTACACAGCCTTTTAAGTATATTATAATAATGGGAATATATTATGATATTCAAAGGCATTCCCAAAATCATAATTAACATATCAGATTAAGTCTTGGATTAACTTAAGAAGGTGTTGTACTTTATCACTACATTAAGTAGTTCATTTTAAGGCAACTTAAAGACCTTTAAATGTAATTTGCCTTTATGAAGTTACCTTTGTGAATGCAAATTCCATATTTAAAATGCTTATTTCTCTTGCAATATTTAACAAAACTGTGCGGCGGAAGGTCAAATGTGAAGCCAGCATACAGACAGACACACAAACATTTTTAATACCCACAATCGCACACAATCTGGCTCTGCCCTTTTGCATTTAAAATTTATGAAATATTCAGGCATATATATTCATTAATTTGATTGCCAACCGAATTGATGCATTTTTCATGGAGCATGTGCAAATTGGCTTTGACTTTTCGGCGAAAGTGAATGAAATGAATTCGCAAATTGAGCTAATTCAACCAGATGAAGCGCTAATTATACAGCGATTCCAGTTTTTCAAATTTTACGGTCAGCCTGCAGGCGTATTCAATTAAAATCCGAGCACAAAAATCAACATTCGAACCCATATCCATTACCAGATAATTTATGACAAATCGAAATGAAGGGCCAAGGCAAACAAACACTGAGAGAGTGCTGCTTTTGATGTTTTCTCCCCCTCTGGCTAATTGTAACATATTGCGTATACGACGCGTGGCCAGGCGCCTGAAATCATTTTTCATGATAATGATATTTAGCATGCATATTAATCAAATACACACACACAGCGGGATACAGAGTGAGAAGGAAACCGCAGCTAAGGCATTCTGTTATTGAATGCCACAATTTAAATTGATCCGCAAGCAATAGCAAAGCAATAATAATTGCTGCGGTTTTCTTTTGGGGGGCCACAGATGATGCCCTCAGACAAGGCCCAAGATGGCAACCGAAGCCATTACTCGACCGCATTCCATATCCCGGCAGTCAGGATTCTCCGCTTTTCGGCCCGAATGCCGCTGGCAACGCATATTGTTCGTTCGCCTTGGATTCTGCAGCTCAAACCTAATCATCTGCGCACAGTAATCCCATCATTTGTAATGCACACTCACACTGGGTTAGCGGGGAAGAGCACTGAGAGAAAATATCAATTAAGGCTTTTGGTAAAAATATCTAAGGAGCAAAGTACTTATGTTCAAGTTTTTATGCTGTTTAGAAATCCATTTGGTTTGCTTATGTTACAAAACATAAACCCAAACAAAGCTATTGTTTAAGTTTCTGTATATTTTTTCTTTGTGTAATCACAGAAATACAAAAGGAAGTGGGTAGGCCTCTCATCTGGCCATTGTGGCAACAAATTACCTGTGCGATTTGATTTCATTTCCGTTCTGCTGGCGCTGCCTTCATCCGTCCTACGTCCTTCCTTCTCCTCGACTTGTGGGTTCAGTTTCAGGTTCAACTATAGCTTCAGATTCGGTTCGAAATCCATCTACAACTAAATCATCATTGGCGACGGGTCGGCATCCTGCTGTTTGATGCTGTCGTTGATGTGCATTCGGTTTTTTGGCTTTCGATTCGAAATCGTGTTGTGTGCTCTGTGTGGGGAAAACAGGAGAACTGGATGTGAGCATATCCTGGCATTAGACAGCTGTCGGATCCGAAATGCGGCGCATAAATCAAATGTTATATTCGATCAGGCGGAAAGCTTTTGGGCCTGGGCCTAAACTGCAATCAGGCGCAAGCTCTCAGTCATTCAAACACACACACTTTTCCCTCAAATTCATCAATTTTCATCGAAACGAAATCAATCTTAGTTACAATAAATTTAATTTGCACACCTCTAGCGTAAGGAATTTTTTCCTGAAGGGAATTTGATTTAATTTTGACTTTTTAGGGGTTATACTCCTCTCGAGGGTAGTATAAGTTCGAGTCCTACGAACTAAAATCATTAAGCTGTCGAATTAAAGTTCTATATAATTGCCCAGACCTAATAAACCCCATCACATTCTCAAGTTTATCGATTCCCTTGGACAAATATCTCTTTATTAATACTTTATCACAGCAGCAGACTTGGGCTCGTCTGTTTGCCATATACTCCAAGTACTAAGTACCTACTAAGCCTTGCTCCATCCCAAGGGGAAGCAGCGGGGGTTGAAGGTATATTTCTATCATAAATTCGACTGACTTGGAAACTTTTCGATGGCTGCGATGTGGCATTTGTGGGGCCCTGTTGCTGTTGCTATATAGCCATGGCTCTAAAGCCTTCCTCTTGCGGCTGTTGTCGTTACTCTCGTAATTATGAAAGTTGGCCAACTGGGCTGCGGTCGCGTTCGCGTCCCTTGGGGGCATCATCCAACTTCTTGACAATGCCCGACTCTGCCGCCATCGCCATTTTCCCTCCATTTTCCCCCATTTCTACAATTTATCCTTTATTTTGCGCCTTGAAGTATGCAACAGCAAATTGTATTGCCTGCATGGGTATTGTAAGTTCTATTTTGTAAGCTCTACTAATGATAGTGTGGGCGGAATTTTGGGCACAGGACATCCTCATTACATTCGAGGACTGGCACATTCAGAATTCAAAATTGCGGCCAAAAACTTTGTGACTTAGAGAAGCTGTTGTTGAAAGTTTATTTAAATTAGTAAATGAGAAATATAGAAGTGTAGTTGTTGGCCCAGGAAGTTGTCAATGTCAGTGGCAGCACTCGTCCTTGGCCATCCGTCGACAGCTCGAAAAACAAGGGCATAAATTAGACAAGTGGTGAACAGTGGTCGATAGAGGCCTTATATAAATGGGATTTTTAAGGTAGAAACAAAGAACTGAGAACATTTAACTTTAAACTTATAACTTTTACTTTAAACTAATATGTCTCTAGCTCTAGATTATTTTATCTTCATAGTTTTATAGACAGAGAAATAATATTTTCAAAGGTTTTCAGACCACTGTTCCTTTGCTTTAAGCCTAGAAAGTAGAAGTTTCATGAAGCTCAAGTCCAACCAAGTCCAAGTCCAAGTCCATTTTCGACAGCATCAAAGTCAGTCAAGCACACGGGCCATAGCCCAAAAACTTGGCCAAAAGTATGCAAAGCCTGGGCCAGAATGAACCAAAATTATGAAGCAGTGCCAAATTCGTTCAATTTGCCAGACAGGACAGCAGAGCAGAGCAGGCGTTCGTTCAGCCAGTTGGACTTCCTGGACGTAGACGTGCCAAGAGGAGCTTGGGGATTGGAAAAAAAGTTAACACAGGCCACGTAGCCACTTCACTTCGATCCCCATGCTAACTTGTTTTTGTTCAATCAACAACACAGGGCCATTGCCATCCATTGTTGGTGTCGTCACGAGGCATTCAGCCTCGGGCTGGCGAGCCTTCAAGCCTTCACAGGACTCAGGACACAGCCTTTAGCGCCGCCTGTCGCCCGCTTGTTTGTCTAAGCCCAGTGAAGTGTACCAAAGATATTTGCGCCCGATATGCGTTCAGGCATTTCGGGTTAAGAAGCAGTTTGCAGGAGAAGCAGTGCCTAGTTTTGTGCACAGGAAGAAAAAGTCAAGTTTAAGGATCAATTACTACAAGAAGGATGTTTATTCATGTGCTAGAAACTTATATTTATATCCTGGTTTCTCATTTATTTATGTATATTTTTAAATTATGGAAATCTACATTGATTGTACCACACGAAATTACTTTCCTCAGTGTAACTGCTTATGCTTAAATGACTGTATCACTCAATACTCAGAAATATGACAAAGAGAGTACTTTGGGACCCAATAGAGCAATAACCAGGCGGCTGGCAAACAAGTATTTTACTTGGAACGCTCTTTTCTGCCTAATGAGCCATCCTGTCGGAGCCGGATTTCACATCCTGGCGACGGAAGAGCACCGGACACACGTGTGTGCCTTTGATTTGAATGCGACAAAAGAAATTAGTTCCATATGCAATATGAGGTTGGGTCCTGTTCACGCTTCGAGGATTATTTGGAACAAATACAATAATTTTCACAGCCATTATGATTGTTCGAGGTCCTTGTTTTCCTCTTTTAATTACTTGTTTTTGTTGAGCTTGGCTAAAAGTCTTGTTGCCGAAAAATCTCTAGAGAGGTTGCAAAACAAAAGTTCTTGCCGTAGGCCATAAAATATTTTATGCCACAAATATACAATACACAATGCACAGCACTTGAATGTGTTAAATTTTTTATTGCAAAGCTTTAAATTAAAGTCTCTAGAGAGAGAAAAGATCTCCTGACGTTTGTTTCGACTTCGAAACTGGAGAGGTGGAAATTTATGGAGCCGTTCTTCATAAAATTCAAAGCAGACAAATGCTTCCAATTTGCAAAGAAAATCGTAAAAAGTTCTGGCAAATTGAAAGCGATATCAATGCAAATAAATATATATGTATTTTGCAGAGGGAGAGAGTATTCTCCATGGAAGGATATATAGAAATGGGTAGCTCAAATTATTTAGTCTGCATATGGCAGGAGCAGCAACACCAGCAGAGTTAATAAATTCCCAGAAAGCAAATTTTATAATCTAATCTCAAGTTATTAGCACCCGCTCATGCCCAGCAGGAAAAGCTGAAAATGGGGGAAATGGAAAGTGAATTGAAAGGAGGATGTGGGAGAAAAACGTATTCACTTGTGGCATCGCTGCTGTACAATTTTTTTTGTGTGAGCGACATTTTTCCAGGCGAGGGCGGCGCAAAAAAACTTGATTCATGGACCGCTCTTTTTTCTATGGTCAGTTGTGTGAGTGGTGACCAGCGTTCAACGAGGCGTGTATCCCTTTCGGAATAGAGTCCTTTTTATGGCCCCTTGTGGGCGGTTGGACTCGGATTGCCCAGTGCTGGCAGCTTATCTCATTTCCGGACAGGTCCTTTGTGGCAAGGATTTTCGGAAAACAGATATATCATATCTTAGAAGAAGCCTTAGAAATTTGTTAAATCTTATGGAAATTCTAAAGGTATTAATTTCTATTATTAAAGTACATTTAAGTAAGCTGAATTGAGAGTAATTTCATAGCAAATATAAAATGTATATCACTTTTTGTCCCAAAGCATTTTATATCTATAATTAAATTATTGTCGTGATTAAAAAGCTTTTAAATAAATGGCTTCCGATTTTATTTTTCATTTATTATTTATATTGTTTTATTATTTAAGTACAAGCTTTGCACAATCAATATTTCATTTAATTAAATTCAAACCAGACAAGTTGTGATTTATGTCCGCTTATTGTTATATATATTTTTTGTTAAGCCTCAAAGTTTTCCTTTTGTTATATATTTTTTTTGGTCCCTTTTCAACTAGATATCGCCAGGCATCACTGTTTTTAGTGGGTGGCCTGTGCGTTGACGGCAAGTTTCACAAATGATTTCACATTTTTGCATAAATAAATGTCAAGTGTGCGCCGGAGCATGCTGAGAGTTGCTGACAGTTTTCTAATAAACCCAAAGAGGCAAAGAAAACAGGATAATCAGCGCGCACGACAGGGATAAAGGCACGGAGACCGAGCGAGCAACAAGTAGGATATATATGAGAGCCCTTCTGTGTGTGTGCGCGTCCACTTTGGCTTAGCAATAATAATAACCTTGGCTGCCATGATGCCTGCCATTTTTCAATGTGTGTGTGAAATATGTGTGTGTATGTGTGTGTGTGCGGGTGGTTGGTAGGAAGGTCCTTTCCCCCATATGAAAATGACAATTTCCATTGCCACTACACAAAGGCCCGGTGCTGGGTGCTGTTGCTGCTGCTGTTGCTACTGCTGCTGCTATGGTTATTTTAGGATTCCCCCGGCAACGTTGGCAATTTTAATAATCTTTACTTAAGGCATAGCCTTAGATCATCTGACTTGGGGGAGGCGGCGAGGTTGGAAAATGTGGGTAAAAGTGGAAGAAAATAAGGCAGAAAATGTGGCGAAGGAGAACGCACTGCACTGCAGCAACTCGTGTGTGCAGCGAGGCATGCCAAATGACAGCTGCTACCCAGTGCTCGGTGCTGGAAAATGGAAAATGCCAGGAGCTGGCCATAATAAGCAGGCCATAAGATGCAGCAAGCTATTTGCAGCAATGTCACTATCACAATTCCTACGTGTTCGGTGTGTCCTGTGTATCCTCAGCTCTTTTTCTTCTTCATCCTTAGCCGGTCCTTTGAAGGCAGAGACCCATTAGACCCATAATTTATGTCCCACACCCACGTCCAAAAGTCACATTATCCCTTTTTCGCACAGAAAGCATTTATATAAATATCATTTTAAGCTGCAGCTGCTGCCTAATGAGCGGCTTAAAGTGCCTCAATAAAGGTCCAGCTTCCGCTTCCTGAAAATATATTTCTGTAGCTTGAATAGTTCTGCGAATCACAGCATTTTGCAATCCCCATTTTGCTGAGAGACTTATCAAAGGACTTGCAGTTGAAAATCAACTAGTGAAATTTGCATTTAAAATGCCTTTTGCCAAGGGCAACTGAATTGCTTGGCAATCAGATATCAGGATCCAATATTTCTGGTAAATTTCTGCAGCATTTCCGAATGTTGCCATTTATGTGGAACAGCAATTCGGTTCACAGTGCGTATGTGTTATTCGAATCCTTCTTAGCAAAGCTAGAGA